GAATGCACATTAAAAAGTAAACAGGCTAGTTCCTTGTTGGTTTTATTACAGTCCAGGGTCGAAGGTTATAAAGAAATTTTCTAAGCTCCAACTCCAATCTTCAGTATTTGATTGGTCAAAAACAAGCTCAGAATGTACACTGACCAATGAAAATCCTGAGATTTGAGCGTGACTCAGAAAAAAGTTTTATATCCCTATGGCCATATTGTAGATGACCATGTCTGAGTTAAGAAACTCCTTTTTACCAAAAATGTAACCAATAAAAAACAACAAGGAATAATTTTTGATTTTTTTTTCGAATGATGGTCTATTTACCTATCAAAAACGCAATCTGGTTTCAAAATTTATATTTTTATGTATAACCTGTCTTAGGTTTAATACCCTTAACTTACATTTGCTTATATCCTATAGAATGTTGAATTGTGTCTTTAATCTAGAGTTTCTGAAGAAAGAAAAAGAAAAAAAAGATCAAACGAACATTAAAATTTTGCTGTCTTTCACTATCCACTCCCACCACTTCTGGGAGTCTAGCAGTCTCGAGTGGCACAAAAAATGCACATTTACTTTATTTTGTATGCATATTAAATTCACAGGCATATGTTATGTTACACCTAGCAATAACAAATTATTCATAGCTTAAAATGCATACTGATATGTCTCTGATATTTGCAAGGTTGTTAAAATGTAATTAAGGCAATTTATTAAAGAAGGATGAGCCAAAAAGGACAAAATATGCATTGTGGATTAGAGGTGATAAAATCTAAATAATATTGGAAGATATTAACCTTTTCCCAGTGCTGAATTAATATGATACACTTTGAATATGGAATGTCCATTGTTAAAATTTTAACCATTAACTAGAATTTGTGTAATTAATTTGCTTTGCTTTGAATTTTGGACAGTCTATTCTAAGTTAAACAGATTTATATTTGAATATTAAAAAATTGAGGTACTAATGGTTTAAAGAGTCAGACTGCAGGAATGTGCATACTGTCCAGGTGGTAAAGGCCAATTACTTATACTATCTTTTTCTTTTATTGCTTTTTGGCAATTAATAGTTAATTTAATGATTTGGTATTTTGTATGGAAGAAAAAACAACTTATTTAACTTTTTTTAAAATTTTGCTTCTTTTATGACAAATATAAAAACACATTTATTGCTACTTTCTTCAGGTAACAAGCATCTAGCATGCTTTAATACCGATATTTAAATATAATAAACTCATTTTTGTGCTTTTTCTAAAGAAGTAAACATTTATTGGTTTTCTAAGGCATTCTGTGCCTTTAATATTTGCAATACATGTATTTAATAGTTAATAGGACTATCTTTATTATGAAAAAACTTCTACAATGTATATTATTGTATGTTTTAACACTGAGGTAAACATGAGATCCGTTTTTGATGTTTAATTATGGGATAAATTAAGTCTAGACTGTTTCATTTCTCAGTAGATATTATTTATTCCTAAAGAATGCAGTACTTTACATTATTAATAATACTGTTATCTTTTGAGAGGAAAAAAAAAGGACATTTAACTATTTAATCCATGGTTATAGAGTTTGCATGACCAAGTGGGGTGAGGAAAATTGAAAGGCATTGTATTTGCTGAAATTAAAATATTTATTTGTTTGTTTTTCAAATTATAAAGAATAGATAAACGGATTTTAAATTAAATAGTGTATTGAATTTTCCCCAAATAAAAACGTTATTTAATTATCTTTTTTAATATTGTGAATGTTTTTTTTTGCTTATTTCATTCATTAAATTTTACTTTTGTATTGTATTGAATAATTAATTAAAATTGAGGACTAGTTAAAATTGTGATTTATTGTTGAATTTAGTGTTGAAAAGTGGTATTAAAGAGACAGTCAATGTGTTTAATATTTTTTGAATGGATCTCTGAATTGGTTGTAGTTTAACTTGACTTGAATATGAAGACAAGTTTGAAGAAATGAATGTTGAATTTGAATTTGAAAATGAATTGTTTTTGTATCTGTTTTGGCTTGGGTTTACATCGCAAATTCACTGTAAAGGTCCAGTGGCATCTTTCCAGTTTTGGTGGAAGAAGACTCCCGGTACCCCTGCTTTATTTCAGGCACAAACAGGAACCCCAAGTAGAATAATCAATGTTCCATAAGCTAACTGAAGAACTTAATTAGAAGAATCCGACAGGTTTTACTGTAGTGATATTTTTGGTAATATTTAAAATGTTTTCCATTGATGTAGATCAGTATGTTTCCAGACAGTTTTGATGAAAAAGTTTCTTAATTAACTAATGATGTTTTTTCTTTCTTTGCTATTTCAGATGATGTTAACAAAGATTTATAGAATACAAGATAGATGAATATCAAAATATGTGTAAAAGTTTTTCTGATTACTTCTAGATTACTCAAAACCAACAAGGAATGTGATTAAAAACTAGCAAATTGGATGATAGTGAAGTCAGTAGTATCTTTGAATAGTCTTCAGATAACTGCTTGAAGTATGAAATGAAGGTGACAGTACTGTCATTTATAGTGAATTTTAATTACTTCATTCAACATTTGGAATAGTGCTTGAAAACTATAAATGGTTGTAAATATATTTATATAAGCTTTATTGGCCTATGAGCAAAATGGGTTAAAAAAAAGAGAGTGGTGACTTCTTTACTGGAGACAAATTAATTTTTTGTGATGCATGACTGGCATATTGGAGATGATTTTGGTGTGATATTGTAAAACTTTTTAAACTGTGTCAAAAGTTATTAAAAGTGATAGTGACAATGCACGAGTGGGCGGCCGTCAACACATGGTCTCGGCCATTGGGTAATCCGGGAAATGGTCGGTTCTCTGTGAATATCCCTGTCACACCAAGAACAGGAAATGGACGATATTCGGTGAATATTCCGGTGTCTACATCAATAACTCCTCAGTTTGGTTTACGTAGATGTAAAACAACATTGTTTGGTCCGGCAACAGTGCTGGATAAACAGCAAGTTTATAAACCGAAAGAGAATTACGGAGGCGAGTCTAGTACTCAAAGATATATCAGATTTTTAAAAGTTAGCAATAAGGTATATTTACATATATATTTCTTGTTGTTCAGTTTTAAATATCAACTCTTTTTACATTCCTTTGATATTAGTTTTCTGTGTGTTTGCTGCTTTTATTTACTAAAAATATTTTTGGTAAATCTTCTGGAAGGAAATTAATGTAGTGATTTCAGTGCTTTTCACAACTTGTCTCTGCTTTGTCATAATTCTGTTTCTTTTATCTTATTTGTTCTCAGTTCTGCATGGTTTTGGTGAAGGTTTTCTGCATACAGGGACTTTGCATAATGTGGGTTATATTTGATATTTTATGTGAACTTTTATTTGCAAATGAATCACATATAGTCTCCTTTGAATATTTCTTAATTAGATATGAATATAAACTTTTTGAAGGGACAGTGAGAGATGCATTTTGTTTGAATCGTTTTGTACTTACGTTTTTTTTTATCATCAAATATACTTGTGAGATTGGTATTTTAACATTATGGGAATAGTGTTGCGGATAAAAAATTAATGAATTTGTATAATAAAAATTAACAATTATTCTATTGCATTTATATTTAACATGTATTAAAAGATTATTATTAAGGCGAAATTTAGTTGGTTAATTACTTGAGTTGCTAAGTATCTAGTAGCCTATCATGTACATATCCTTTGTGATTCTGATTATAATTTTCTCTTCTGCTAAAATATTTTGCAGTCATTTATTTGTCCACTTGTCTTGACTGTGCTGTTATATTATTTGCATTTGTTTATTTACAGCAGTTGTCTTTTCTGTCCTGTATTTATTCTCCTACCATATACTGTGGTAGGGGCTGTTCTGGAATATTTCTTTGTTCATCTTCCTGTTGATTGGTCTATCTCCAACGACTTACGTGCCCATTCTAATACCCTATACCTGCTGACAAATTTTCTTTAAGTTTGACTCAAATGTTCACCACAACTGGGAGATGTGCAGAACCAATGTCACTGCTGTGCAGGCTCAAGGTCAAGGTCATGCTTGAAGGTCAAATTGTCAGACAATTTTTCACTCTCTTTATAATTCCCATACCCCTTAAAGTACATGTATTTTCTTTAAACTTGCCTCAATTGTTTTTGCGCTTAACAAGGCAATGCAAAGAACCCTGGGCCATGTCATTGCTGTGCTGGCTGAAGATGAAGGTCATGGTTGAAGGTCAAATGTCTGACAATTTCTTGCTCACTCTATAATAACCATTCCTCTAGAAGGATTTGCTTCAGACTATATTCAGTTGTTGAGTTTAACAATGCAGCATGCAGAACACATGTTTCTGCTGTGTTAGATCAAAGTCAAAATAAGGCTTGATCCTTGCAACAATTCTTGTTTAAAAAATCTATTCAGTCTTTTTTTAAACTCCTATTTGCATTACTTATGATACAAGTATTGTTTTAAATGACGACAGTTTGATTATGTTTTATTATTTTCTAGTTTCTTCTTATTTTCTCAGTAACTCCTTTTCTGTTTGTTTTCTGTTATTTTATTTATTGAAATTCTTTATATTTGCTTATTTTCTACAAATTTCTTACTTTAGGTCCTTATAACCTGTTACTCTAATACTTCTTTTATTGACAATCTATTGTTAATATTTTACACACCTTAATACTAGCATTATAATGAAATATTTTCTTCAAAATAGATTATTTTCCAAGGTGCAGTCTGCTGTTATACTTTAATTACCATATGCTTTGTTGAATAAGACTATCAAATAAACTACAATGTATACTGAATTTTATTCCTAATTTTCTATGAGCATTTGCTGTCTTAGTGTTATTTTGTTTATGTTACTGTAAAATTTAAACATGATTATTTTCCAACCAAATTTTCTTTAATGCAAGTATAGATTAGAGATTTAGTTAGACTGTAACAGTAGCTACAATTTTGTATTTTGATATTGAAATCCCATAAATGTCAAATGAACTGTCCTAAATCAAAACAAAATTTTGTGTATTCAGGAATCGGAAGCCAAGCTGAAAAATACAATGCACATGCTGCGTGTCCAAAGATCAAAGTCAGATTTAGATGCCCGTGAGACACCTAACAGTTTTTCTAACATGGGTGTTATTGGTGGCATGGGTGGTATGATGAAAGAGGTTAGCTTGTTTTAACACTTTCATAATAAAGAGGATATTGAATGAGTGTAACTTCAATATTGAATTTATTGAATGTGTTGAATAAATTTATATATTACGCAAGCCTCTGGCGACAATAATATTATTTTATGTAACGAGTTTAATAAATTCAGTAATGAAATTACACAAATTTAATATTCTATTTATCACATACCAAAAATACAGACTGTTTAAAGTGAAAAAGAGTCATTTTACATTGATGCGCCTACAGTTTAACGCTAACATTTAGCATGTCTGTTAACACTATGTTTGTATAACGCAAATGACGTCACATCAAAATGTATGCATGGCTGTGCAATACCATTTTTACGGAGTCGCAAAATCGGCATGTTTATGTGATAAAATTTAATATTTATTTCAATTTTCAATATAATATTTCAAAATAAAGCATTCTGATTAATCAGTTTTATAGGAAGCAGACCGCCTGCTTGTGCCCGAAATGATACACAATGGGGCATATGAGGACCTCCACTAACAAAGCTTGATAGTGACACTGAATGACATTTACAGTGTTGGTTTCATTTGACTTTAAAGTCCAACAAAACAAACTAATCATTACTCTTATGTATAGATATATGAGAAAATCTGGAAAGTCACTATGACTTTAACTGTGTTGGTGCAACTTAAAAACTTAATGTTTTGATTACATTTCTAGCGATCACATGTGTATATGCCAACAAGTTCAGAAATTCTCAGTAGGGAAAGTTTGACAGGAAGTCAAAAACAGGAAATGAAGGTCGGCCTGGCAGTGTTAAACAAGAAAGGTCTCATCTCCTTGACAACAAATGATGTTTCCAATCAGCTTCCAGAACTCACAGGTAGGTATCAGTGTTTGCAAATACATGTATAGTGGTTAGATCTGAACAATACAACAGTGCTTGCAGCTAACCAATTTCAAAGGCTGACTCTCAAGTGAACATTTGTATGCCTTTTTCTAATTTCATATATACTGAGATCTCCTACATGTCACAGTATAGAACTGTTAACTAACTAGCGGAGAAAATGTGTAAGCATCTGAATAGTTAAATGGGTAGAGCTAGGGGATGGTGTTTTGTGGGTACTGGGTTCAAGTCCTGTTCAGGCTGCACATTTTTCTCACCCTGTGACATACAAATAAACCATTCTCAATTCTCAGAAGTGGACCAGTTCATTACACTAATTAAGCAGTATAAGGAATAAAGCCACATAAAGAATAACAACGCCTAATGAATGGATGTGTAGGGTAATGAAGCAATAAACTCAAGTCCATCAAACCTTCTTTCAACGGTCTTCATACTTATTTCTGTACATTTTTGTCACATGAAAGGGTGCTTTCCTCTTACATCTTATTTTTTTTTATCAATATTAATATGGCATCAATATTATACATACTAATTAGGGTTTGTAGTTGCAAGGAAACCCTAGATATAATGTTTTCAATCATTCCAGCCACTGTAGAAAGCCGGAGGCCGAGAGAAGAACACCATTCAGGTAAACAACAGTCAAAATCTCTGATCAAGCGTAAAGACTTAATGGATCACTATAAAGCCGGGTTCAAGATTCTCGCGGATGAGGAGATCCAGAAGAACCAGGAAGAGGAACTTGAGAAAAGTCTGGGAGATTATACCATCCTAGATTTACAATCAAAACTCCTCGATTTTACTGTAAGTTGTTGAAAATATATCTTGATTTTACTTGATCAATATTTTGCTTGTGTAATCAAGTGTAATTGATTGCTTAATATCATAATGATAAATTGCTCAATGATGGAGCAATAAAATGACAATGCTCTTTGTGTTCAAGCATACTAGTGACTTGACATGACAAAAATAGTGATAGAACAAGTTACATTATAGCGATAAAACATCCTGTCTAATACTTGGAAGTTCAAATGCTTGAAGTGGACAATGAGCCTATAGCAGCGAATGTCAAAACTAGTCACCAACCTCAAACACTTTGCCATGATATCTTTGAGTGAAAGAATACAAGTTTGTAGGTTTGCCCAAAAAATATATTAGCACATGTTTGATATATAGATCCTTTTTTCGTTTTTGTGTTTCAGGATGCCAAATCTCCACGTAGAAGTGCACATGTAGATTCTCTAATCACTCAAGCAGCTCAGAAGAAGGTCCCTCAACAGATGAAGTCAGAGAAATCTGTCACTCTACCAGCCATAAAAACTTTCAACCCCTTTTAATTAAATTAAATCCAACATGAGGCTAACATTGTCTATACAGATAGAGTGCACTCTAGATAGAGTGTTACTTCAAATTATTTTTCTTTTCTTTTTGTGAAAGGAAATATGCAGTGCTTTTTGGGTTATTGCACAGTTTTTGGCAAAAGTGACCCAAGAAGTGGATTAAAATGATTTGAATTTTGAAATTTTGTGAAGTTGATCATTGACTTGTTCGAGCAACTGTGGCCATATTCTGTGTTATTTTGCCAACATACCCATCTGTATTGATGAAATTTTGTTTATTTTATATTTTAAATGCAAAAAATATGTGCACAGTTGTTTCCCCTTAAAATAACTAATGCTGTTTAGAAGGTTATTGAATTTTAGAAATTTCTGAAAAACTTTTTTTCATATTTATGAAGATTTTGCATAAATTTTTAACAGTTAATGTAAAAATTATGGTCTGATTTTTATTAAGCATTAATTTTACATTGTATGTTTTCATTAAATAATATTGCAGTATGCTGTTTGTGTATTGCTGCTATGAAGTGATATTGGTATTTTAAATTTTAATACCTTTGAACATGTTGTTGCAAGATTTCGGGCCCATGTTAGGTCTTAAACCAATAAATATATTATTGCAAGATTTCAGGTCCTTCTTAGGTCTTAAACCATTAAATATATGTTATTGCAAGATTTCATACCCATTTTAGGTCTAAGTCCGTAACATATATGTTCTTGCAAGAGTTCAGACCCTTTCTGGTTCTAAAAAAAGATTATATTCTTGCAAGAGTTCAGAGCCTTTTTGGTTCTAAAAAAAGAATGCATGTTATTGCAAGAGTTCAGGCCCTTTTTAATTCTAAAAACATTAAATATAGTGTCTTCTTGCTGGTGTTGCGGTCCTTTTTAATGCTAAACCATCACATGTACATGTAAATAACAGAAATATTGTAAAGAGTGTTTAATATTTTTGGTTACTTTGATTTAAGAACATCAGTTATTTCAGTGAATTTAGTTATTTTCAAGAGGTCTTTAATTAGAAGATATTTCTTAGTATTGTGTCAAGGCCTAAAACTACATGTATACTTGTTTATAGATTTGTGGCTGAAAGTTTTAACATTTTTGTCTTAATAATACATGTTATTGTGTCTGTTCTTAACAACTGATACTCTAAAAAAGTTAGTATTTTCAGCTAAATTTATGCTTTTGCAATCAACCCTGTTTATATATTTGTACAGAAAGAAGTGCTAAGTAACTATTTTATATATTATTCCTAATAAGGGAGGCTATTTCTGTAATTTCCTGCCATAATTATATTTGTCTCCCTTGTACTATCTATTGACTCTGATCTAAGGGAGGCTATCTATGTTAAATTAAATACTTTTTTGTAGCTGTCTTTCTGCGCAGTCTGATCAGGATCCATGCTGTTTGCCTACAAACCGGAACAGCATGGCTCCTGATCAGACTGCACGGATGCGCAGGCTGGTCTGGATCCATGCTGGTCGCAAACGCACTATGATGGTTTTGTAATGTCGCGGCTCATAAAAATAATTCTTTATTATTGAACAATTATAGCCTAATAGCATTATTTAAATTTGATTAAATGTCATAAATTATGTAAGACAGTTATATGATGATACATGTATACATTTTTCTGTCATATTTAACAGAGTGACATAGATTGTAACTACACAATTTTATCATACTATTCTCTTATATAATGCTTATATTTATTATTTGTTGTTTTTTTTACAAATTCAGAATTTATTTATTTGTTATATTTGTCTTTATTTGTCTGTGATAATTCTAGTCGACTAAATCACCGTGTCTATTTACACAGTAGTTCAATGTAGAAATTACTGGTACTATGTATACACTGAGATTAACTGGGTTAGAGCTAAATTGTAATGTTAGGTCAATTTCGTCTCCCACGTTACTCCCCTATGGGGCCCCATAGAGAGATGACACAGCATCGACCATTGTGTTTTTCGATTCTTTGAAATCATATATCATCACCTTAGTGCAGTAACGGGTTAAGTCTGTCTGGATTTAATAGGTGCTAACCAGTTATTGCACTAAGGTGACGATATGTGTGTTTTCCACTGTTTGTTGACAACAGTTACTTTCCCACACAGGAAAAGCCCCACATTGGGTAAAATTTGATGCAAACCTATACATGTACCATTAGTTCTGATGAATTTCTGACTTCAGTATAATGGTTAAGCTTATATGCTGAACTCAAATTTTTAATTTTTTAATGTCGTTTTCAATAAGTTGTATGTTTTAGTTCTTCCAATTTAGTCTCTTTGTGTCATCAAATGTTTATTGGGCATAGAATTCAATGTTTTAACACATAGAATCCTTTCTTTTTTGCCACTATGTGACTTTATTTTGAAGTGTTATACCAACGAAAAATGCCAAATTTTCTCAAGATAACAAAACATGAAATTGTATCCTAGTAACCAGTGTATACATGGAAACCAAGACTTTCATGGTGTCTAATATATTATGAAAATTTTGTACTAAAATTGAAATACTTTTGTATAATGTTTTGTTATGTTTCCAAGTAATTCGAAAATAAATGATCCATTATTATTGATTTTGTTTTGATTCTTAATTTGTATTTGACAGAGAAATTTTATATACTGGAGTTCCCTATCATCTTTTCTATGATGGATGATTTTGTGGTGCATTGGCTAAAATAATAGCCTAGAGGCTGTCCTTTATCACAGCAATATTGTTATGATACTGGGCCCCAAGAAACAATCAAAGTCGTTCCGTTGGCTCAATAGGTAGAGCATTGGACTGATGGGTTCAATTCCATGACGTTGCAGGTCACTTTCGTTGTGATTGATCATGAAATCTTTTCTATGGTCATTTGCACTGTACCTCTGCTCTGGTATGTACAGAAGTTTCAGTTCCTTGCGAAAGTGAAGGCAACTAGAACTGGTAGACTGCTTGTCCAAGAATGCGGTGGCTGAACTGTGCTCTGGTATTTTAATATGGCTTACTGCTGTGAAAACTACAAACACCACCACCAAAAACAGTCACAAAAAGCAATACCTTTGAGGCCCCCCTCTATTGTTATATAAGGAGCATAGTGCTGGCTGAAGAAATGTAGTACACAAATACTGTACAATTTGGTACATCAACACCCTTTTCCTGAGCCCAGTCGCCCATTGGTTCAATTTTACTGAGCTAAAATCGTAATACTACTTTTTGTGCAAAAATACCCTTGACATCTACCCATTGGCATGATTTTTTTTGTTCTGCATTGGTTCTTGCAATAGCTTATAGGCACCCACTTTCAGGAATATGACTGACCTGCAAAATGCCTGCATGGCATTGGCTCAAGCCCTCACTATTTCTTCTGCTTATATCCTATTCTAAACTTTATGTATTTTATTAAAAATACTCTTTCTAGAGCCTACAATCACCCACCCATTGGTCTAACTCCTTCAGGGATTGGCTTATACAACAGCTTTCAATTTCCACTTTACTGCAATAATAAAAATCTAAACATTTTTTGATGGTATTTAATTAATTTATTTTTTAATTTTTCATCAACAATTTAACAATTATCCTCCTATAATAAAACATGTAATTTTATATTCTATCTCCTTTGATTATTGTTTATGTTTCACAGGTGATTTTAATTACATACATGTAAAAGAAAACCTTTCACATAATTGAAATTTTCAATTAAGAATATATGTCCTTATAATATATATACTTAATATCTAAGATACCGTAATTGTTATAATGGGACGCTGTCTCTATTGTCATGTACATGTATACATATATTTTGTATTAGAAAAGTAACATTTTAATACATCATAAAGGAAAATGTTTGGAATGTTCATCATCACAGATATAATGGAATAAATTTTATATAATTATTGCTGGACGGAAATGCAATAAATTTTTTTTAAAGCTTTAACAATGTAAACAAATAAATAACATGCAATAAAAAATGCACTTTTCATATAGAGATCTCAATACTTTACACTTATTCAGTAAAAGTATAAAACATTTTATAACATGTAAATAAGTACCATATAAAAAAATGGGCGGAAGATATTTTAAGAATGGAATGCAAATTCTCAAATAATACTGAATACTTATACAAATAAATACTTCTTATTTATTCGATTGTGTGCTAAGAACAGAAAAACAAATGAAGGATTTAAATGAACAAAAAAATATCAACACCAAATGTCAGATCATATTAATACACTAATGTCATATCAAAATAATTTCAGATTCACATTGGACCATGTGTCTTATTCACTTTTCACATTTTCTGACAAGCAGTTTTGATTCACTGTTAAACCTTATGCAAGTATTCTTATTTTGTTTAGCATTCTACTATATCACACATTTAATATAACATTTTTTTTTATCTTTTATCATTTTGCATCTTAGGTCATTTTTTCACATTTGTTTGACAGTTTTGACAGTTAGATTCACTTTTTTCATATATTGTTTCAATTTTTTTCCACATTTTGTTTTCCCTTATTTTTTTTCACATTTCAGATTCACATTTTTCACATATTGTTTGAAAACATTTCACATTTTTCACACATGATTAATAGTCTAAGCTCATAAGAATGGCAGTTCCTCTCTTTGCCCAGTGGTCTGCAGATTTCTCGCCACTCTTTAACTCAACAGCAACAATAAACGAAGGTCTGCCCATACTTCCGGTACGGTTCGGGAAATAGTAACATGGACATGTGTATATACCTGAAAAACACAGATTTAAGTAATAACTAAAACTAAATAAACCTTTTTTTACCTGCCAGATTCATAGATGTAGTTATTAAACAGATAAAAAATTTAAATTAAACAAAAAAAGTTTTTTTTGCAAGTAACAAGCTTATGGTATCTTCTCCTTTTTTTAAAATCATCACACAAACACAGTACACCGGGCACATTTTAAACTGTAAGCATTAGAAGGAAACAAAACAAGCAAGCACAGGTATCTAGAAAAAACCAACAATCTTTCCAGAAAACTAAACTAAACACTGATTTTCATTCAATTTTTAATAAACAAAATTGTGTGTATGTTCATGTGTTAAATTCAACATTTTGGATTTTGATTCACACAGTAGATCCACAAAATATTTTTCATCATTTTCATTATACTTATAAATATTATAAACAAAAAAACAGACAGTCTACATACCTTTTGTGACTTTCTTCTTGTTTTCTACAGGTTTGAAATGGATCGTAGGTATCTGACATACAAGTTGCATGGGTATAGCCTCAATTAGACACTGATTCTTCTTGTCCCAACCTGCACCTTGTAGGTACAATCCCTTGATATATACACCATCCTACAACAAATAGTGAACATGTTACTTATCACATCTAAATTTTATCATCATTACATATAAATTATCACACAAGTTGTCATTTTATACAGACTGATATACTAACAAATCCAGCAATCTTCCCAATCCATTTCCTTGGTTTTTAGGTCCTGCATCAGAAGATTGTAAGTTAACAGGAGGACAGTTACAACTGTCTGGGGTTAAAGTCTGTATGAAATAACAGTAACTGAAAGAAATGTTTCATCAAATTGACTAAGCATAGGGTACTGTACATAACATTTGTTTAATAGCAATATTCTATTGAAAAAAAAAAATTAGGAAGAAAAATCTATAGTCACCTATGAGTAAAATCAATAAGGCAGGTAACTCTACATACATGATTCATCTATCTATTTCATAGCTATCCTCTATGATGGTTTCCAAACCAAAAATGGTACTGCCTCCATTTCAAAGTTGTTGTTTTTTTTTAATTAAAAAACATTTTGTGAAATAAAAAAAACCCATACCTTAGGGGGTCCAGTTATATTCGAATCATCAACTGTCATTACATTAAACTCCCACGACAAACTGTCGACTGACACGCTGTTCAATCTTGCTGATGTCTGCAGGACAGCAGTCAGGAACCCAGTTGGGAATGTGAAACCAGACATCCAGAAAATGGTTGGTGGATGAGCAGTTGTAGCCCATTTCTCAAGTTGATCTACACGGAGTACTAAGTCACGAGTCCAAGCTGCCAGAGGTTTCATTGATGGGTAGGCCTGTTATAAAGTGTAAATTTAAAATTGAAACTTATTGCTGACTAATTTAAACTCATTGCTATCCATGGAATCATACATTTTAATTAAAAGGACTTTTGATACTGAAGCGATAACATTAAGCAACAAACAGTAGAGTGTAGCCCCACTTCATGAATACTTGTGGCATAGTGTTCCACACTTCTTAATTAAAAAGTATCCATCCTAATTAGCTAAATACAAAATTGGCACATGCAGTGAAAAGTTCAATTTTGTACATATTTCACATACACTGTTATGGCTTCTTGCACTAATCTTTTATTTCTGAATATCTGCATGATATGTTAGAATAATATTATGTTTATTGTTGTTTATTTAATTAAAAAGTAAAGGAAATAAGTATGTTTACTGAAATAACATCATATTCCAAAAACAATTAAATTTGTAGTGACGTGGACGCATACTTTATCAAAACATTGATTTTTTATGTTTGTTTTAGAGAAACAAGACAGAGGTTTCGGGGACTTCTGCCGCTGAGCTTAATAATTGTGATATTAAGATGCCTATAATCAATTTTGATTGTTTCAAGTCCTTCCCAGGAACAGAAGGTGTTAAGCCTTTGCCATCAGTATAGAGCCAGGCCAGCCTGTAAATCTGTGCAGTCTGGCCAAGCTCTGTAACGTTGGCTGACTAACTTCACATTTTCATCTTGATCAAAATTGATAACGGACAATCCTATAAATACAGGATGACATTTTCAAAGTTTAAATAGTATTATCTCTATATCTTACCTTAAGCCATGAAGGTGGAACTCTACCATCAAAGATACAGAGGAATATACTCTCTAACTCCACTGTCATGACAACCATTCCCTGGATACCCATCTCGAGATCTGTCAGAGATTTACGGATCTCGTTCAATAATAGATTGTAACGCTGAATCTGTAACAAAAACAAAAATACATCTTCAATACCAGATATTAATTTGGTGATAATAAAAAAATAAAATTACAACACTGTACCAGTTTTTCGATGAAAGATAGAATAATAGCAGAAGATAAAAAGAATTAAATTTCTTCTCAAGTAAATATGGACTTCATGTATACATTGCTTTATAAGTGAGAAATTTAATATTTGCTCTGCAAATTCAAAACGTACAATAACTCCAACATATATCTAAGAAATTCACTAAATACAGTGATATTTTCATATTTGCTCTGCACATCGTGCTCTTGAAAGTATTACGCTTTTCATATGCCCAAAAGAATTTTGGCATATCTTGTTTCAAAAGTTAGATACATTTCACTTTCACTAAAACCAAACAAATATCCTCTATAAAATCATCATGTAAGGTGATAGTGATTAGGACATATTACTTACCTCCTGTAGAAGTACTACATTTATTGGTGATGGATCTACAGACAATATCTTCACTGTATTGTCATAGTCTATATTCTCAGGAATCTGTTTATAAATGTTTGCTGATAACTCCAACACCTGTAAATATATGTAATCAAAACATGACCTTTTATAGAACTTAGAAAGTTAAGAAAAACTTAACCATATATTGCACTGCTCACTTGCCTTCTGTTACAAAAAAAAGTAGAATTACATTTTTTTTCATTGGAAATGCATGTTTTAAACTTTCAAAGCCTTGACTTTGCACAAAAGAAAAAAGAAGACAATAAGAAAATCAAACTTAAGAAAAATGTATTCATAGTTCAAAATATAGATACATATTTATAATTCAAGTGACATTTTCAAATATCCTCTGCATAATACATTGTATGACATTGTTTAATGTTTTTAATCATCATATTGCTACCAAGTTCCAGTCTAAAAGCTAAGTTTAATCATTTCATTTGTACACTCAAATTTTCGTGATACGGCAATAAACATGATTCTTGAGGGCAAGCTATAATATAAATTCTAAAGACGGTTATCACTTTTTTGTGTCTTACACAGATGAAGTAATCTCTTATATGACAAGCAATGAAAAAACAGGTTGTCAATCCTGGGCTTTCTGGTCAGGAATCATTGATTCCAACAGTTTTAAGTGTTGAAACTTGTGTACCGCTCAAGCTGGTGCTAGGGGGCATGAGGGATGCTACACTTTTTCATTATACTCATGTACAGACTCAATCAAACTGAGACTGCAATTTTCATGTAATTTTGTCATGATTAAGATTTCCAGATTTTTTCAACCAAAAATACCACATTTTTGCGACGGACGCGCCCTCAGGCGCGTTCAGAGCTAAGTCATCTACACATGGGATTTCGTTGGCTACACTCGCGCAATGTGTCCTAAACCAATTAACAGCCCAAGAAATAGTACATGAATTTGATCCTTCAAAACTCCCATACTTTGTCTGGATATCTTAATGTCTTCCATATTTAGCCTTTTAAATTTCAAATTAAGTTATCCAAGTTAAAATATGAACGTATATTATTGATAAAAACGTTGTAGTCCCGTAGTATTATTGCGCAATATGCAAATTACTGCTGAAACAATTTACCGCTGTCGAAAAAGTAGGACAGCAAATTATACTTCAATAAAGGTGTAACCTCTGAGTTCCAAGACATTATTAGTAGGAAATAAATATTTCTACATTATACAAAACCTTATTATTAACAAATCAAAAGTTTTTCGTGACTCTAGGATAACTCGCGCATTAATAAAAGAAGAACTATTTTCGTGACTCATACCGCGGGTTTAGCTGAATATTCAGCAGTTATTAATATATTAGATACAGTACAATGGCTAGTATAAATATCTATTTTTGAAAATGCATGTAAGACACTTTACCGCCATGTAGTCTTTCATGGTAAGGAAGTTATAATATCAGTTCTACTTCCGATTTTTGTGGTTTGTTTACATATTTTACTAGGTCATGATATGAGTTAACCTTCGCTATTCTAAAAATAGATTCTGCTTCACCTGTTCTGATTTTTGGACAGGCGATTATAGGAAGTACACATTAAACATGTAATTAATAAACCAGCGGATTGTAATGCAATACTTTTAGAAATGCTATACAATTGTAAGAAGCAAACAAGTTGAAAATGGAATATAGTGTGAAGTTGAAAAGGACAACTAAACACTGTAGTGCTTAAGTGACATTTAAATTAAAATAAAAACGATGTGCTCTGGCCTCTACATCTTTACCTTGTAAATAAAAAAAATCTATGAAATACACTATTAATTGCTGATGATTTTAACCATTTTTTTTTTAATGAGACATATCCAAGAGAAATAAAAATACAAATGACTTATATTTTATTGTCTGTATGCCCACTATGATATAACATGAAGCAATTCTAAATAGCATTCTCAAATGTATAATGTATTATGTTTGAAGTTTATTTGCCTGGATTTATTCTAGAAATATTTCGTTGATAGTTTTTTTTCTATTTACATATCATTTCTTAGAATAAATCGATAAGGACACTGATTTACAAGTTTGACCAGAGTTTTTAGGCATAAATTTCATTCTGTATTTAAGTGCTTGAAAGTAGAAAATCTGAATTATATCAATTTGGGACACAAAATATATTGCTCTACAAATCTCGAACTTGTATGGAACAAATTTTCTCTGTTATATATTTTGTGTTTTGTTTTTGTTTGTTTTTCTAAAAGAAGCCTTAATTAATGTCTCTCCGGTTGCATGTCCGTCGCATTCAGTGCTGCAGCACTTTGATTTTACAATCAATACCACAAATTATACCTTGTCTTCCCTGGACTCTCCACCAGTTGAGCTGATCTGTGGTTGAAGTGAGAGTAGGGTATCAAACATCAGTCTCGTCTCCTGAATCTGTGACTGGATGTCAGCATTTGGATGTTGACCGAACGCCTCTGGGTGGTCAATGTTGGGTAACATGCTAACATATTCTTTATATGAAGATAATGGTCCATCTTTTGGTACATAATATGTAGGTAGAATGGAGACTCTGTAGGTAAAAATAATTAATAATCATTAATGCTTATTATTTAAATAATAAATGTATTTTCTACATATACATTTGCTCTGTCTTTTACATATTTCTAAATGATTTAAAACAATTCGACCCATTATAGAAACAAAAATCTTGTTTCATTCCCAACTCAACCATTTATACACGATTTATGTCATAACTAACCAAAAAGAAAGGCAACAAGTAGATTTTACTAAAATTCATAACTGTAACAAAAGAAAGCATGTACATTGTATACTGTATTTCATAAAGATATGTTAATTTTATTTCATAACTTACTTGAAGAATGGCGTGTTGATGGAATTGTCATTAAAGTAATCAGAGATATATGTCATTAGAAGTCTTCTGTCCCAATCATCTGTCACATGACCTCCGTAGTTTATTCCGGCCACCAAGTATTTTAAGGCCTCCCATGGAGTTTCATCATAATCATCTAGGTAAATACTCAATAAATTCTCAGATACCTGAAAAAAATGTTCACATTTTATTGAATTGTAATTATTTTCAAAAATAAAAAATGCCAAGTTTTCCATAATTTCATGAATAATTCCCCTGATATTAGTTGAGAACATCTTATATAAAAAAAAAATTATATTAAAAACTTTTTCAGGCCTCAAGTGACCTGTTAAGACGATTGAGAAAAATTTAAGAAAAAAAACTTTGTACTATGTACATTAAGTCAATAATTCCATGTTTCAGCCATTTAGCTATTCAGCATCTGCATACTAAAACTTTCAGTTTTCAAACAAATTATATACTCCTGTTCTAAAAAATTTGTTTAAAACAGTTTCAGCCTGCATGATTTGCACTGTATATATTTTGAAATACACATGAGAGAAAATAACATTCTACTGTTTAAACCCAATTCAAATTTTTAGAATTAAAATCTTTAAAAAAAAAATGACTAATAAAAACACCATTACCTCAAAATCGGAGTCATTAAACTCATAAGCGATGTTCCAGCCAAGCATTAAGAATTTCTTTCTTTCTAGGAGTACAGAGTGGAAATAACATAGACAGAATAACAGTTTCTTGTATTTGTCTTGTTTATGGCACCGACTAAATTGTTGTTCTGTTACCAGGTTATATAAACGTTTCAAGTTGGCTTTCAAACCCTGAAATCAAAATAAAACATTTTTTTAAAATTAAAATCAACGATCTAGTTTAACCATGTATATTTGTTCTGTTTGAAGCAAAACAGACACTCGCACTGTAAAGATCAAATGCCCTTTTCTAGCTTTAACTCATTACCTCAGTATCAAGTGCAGAGTCGTCTGCCTGCACATCCATGCAGTTTGACCAGGCTTAAAACTGTTGGCAGCTAAGATTTTGTACTTTAAACATTGCATTTCCTTAAACTTTGAAAATACTTTTTTTTTTTTTTAAAATTTCAAAGCTGGACTAATCCACTACACAAATTTAGAACGCTAAAAGTTTATGGTAGAGAACATTTTGATGCATACTGGGCATCTAGTTTCTGAAAGTAAACCTATGATTATATCTGAGTAAAATTCTTGAAATATTTCAAATTGACCTTCCTTTTACCAACTGGAAAAAATAAACTTTGTAATTTAACACATATCAGAGGCAGATACTACGACCTCTACCACAATTTTATAAAATAAACGTATTTCATTGGCCAATTCTACACTTTCTACTAAACATTTAGAAGATTTATGTACTTCACTAGCAGATTTTATGATATATAAATTATATGTATTGAAAGTTAAATCTGTAACACAGTCTATACCTTTGGAGGTTCTGTAGTCATTTTAATACCAGTCTGTAGAATGGCTATAGGGAATTCTGGGTGAGGACTGGAACTAAGCCACAGTCTGAACTCGGGATGAGGCTCCTCTACCTGTAACTGTTCTACAAGCTTGTCTAACTGAGGCATCCAACTCAATGATAAATGACAGTTGGCCAAGAACACCCAGTTACCCTAAAATGAAAGGAACATCTCATGTATGCTTATAGATTTCTATAAAATTTGATATAAAACATATGTTAAATTTTAAGTATAAATTATTGGAAAACTGAAAATGAAGCCAAGTGGTCTATCCAGGAAGCGAATCCAAAAGTAGCTTAAATGAACTTAAAATCACCATTTCAATTTATATTAGATGAACAATTTACAACCTTTATATTAATCACTTAACCAATAGTTGTTTATAAGGTTGTTTATTAGATATGCCCAGTGTTATTTTCTTCCCAAGTGAGTTGCTGCTGTCTTACAGAGGTCTTTCAAAATTTTAAACATATGCCATGACTCTTAAAAAATATTTTTAGTAAGGTTATGTAACATTCTATTATTTTACACTTACAATGGTTAAAAAAATCAAGCCATTATGACATCCCACAGATACTCTAGATTTAAATTCAATTCTAGACTCTTGAATTTGACCTAAATAACTAATATACAAACATCATAGATACCTCTCTGACACCCTCTTTGATCATTCTGGTTGCTATTGGAGCCTGACCTTGACCTAGAGACAGGGCATGGAACCTCTGGGCCATACCACTCTGTTCTGCCAGTTGGAGAAGGGCACTGGTTGGATCCTGTAAAATAAATAATTTAGGAAAATATAATAATGGTTTTATTGATAATTTGTTTGGCTTCGATTTTTGAGTCATTTAGACACAATGATCAAATTAAATAATGAATTTTGAGCTTCAAAAGTTGTCAATTGTCTTTATGTGCCAGTTTTAAATTGAGGAACACCTGTGGTGTTTCAACTAAATATAAAACAAGCTTTTACAGGTTAATCAAATCAAATTTCAATCTCAAAGTTGTAAACCAGACAATACCCACAATGTAAAGAGACAAAGTAACTTACGACACCAGGTGAGAGTACAAAGATGAGTGGAGTTTTTGTTGAGGAATCTTGTACCACGTGCTGCATGTCAAGCACTGGGGGTTCCACAAACTTGGATCCCAGATTGTTGGTAATAAAAGAAGTTGCACAGAATGACACTCTGTCTGGACGTAATGAACGAATTATCAACATTTTCTGTAGCTCGTTACAGGCATTGTCCCATTCACCTAAAATAAGTTAACACAGTATAATCACACATTTTCATCTGTTTTTATCATAGATTACAAAATATACAGATTGATAATTCTTTTTTTTTAAACTAAGGTGAACTTTTTTAAAGTGTTAATAAAATGGTGCATAAAAACTTCAAACTTTTTACATTAGATTTTCTTGATTTCAAAAACATGAAAAATGGGAAAATGGCCTGAGTTTGGTTCTTAATAAAGAAGCTAATTCATACCAGGTAAGCCGGTATTTTCCGGTTCATTGGCTGTATACCAGATATTCCAGTCTCTTGGGTATTGTTCAAATGCTGTGATAATTCCGTGGAAGTTTGTCAATTTCTCGAGCTCAGTAATATTGTCCCAGGCCACATCAGATAACCAACCAGAACAAGGGTTGTCCATCTGGTTCTCCCTGTCTAACACCTGTTATATATAGTAACAATGATTTAACAATGTTCATTAAGTGAATAAGTATGCTACCGGTGTTACTATAATACACCTATCCTGAGCTGGTGTAAATATATATTTTACAACTTCTTATGACTAACAAAACCTGTAACTTAAGATCTATCACTTATGACAACTGTATGAAGATCATAAAATTTTAACAAGTGTTGATTACTTGCAAGCAGCACCTTTTTATTGTCAAACCCTACATTTTGAAATATTATTTCAGAAACTATTTTGCTAGGTTTTTTTGATATCAAAAACTACTTTCTATTCAGCCACAGATGCTTATTTTTAACAACTTTTTTTGAATAATTTTTATTAAAGTAATTTTGCCATAATTATAAAACATTGAACTTACCACACCCCCTCTAAGGAAGAAGTTGTATTCATCCATGTTAAGTTTACCAGCATGCTCTAGAATCTTGGCACACATTTGGAAGGAGAACAAAAGCTTGTGTCTCTCAAAAAGACCTCGGCAAGTAAACCTGAAATACACAATATATCAAAGTCACATGACTGTGTAAATGCTCAATCTATCTGTAATAATGATTTGTCTCATGCCAGATTTACTAATTTGTGTGGTATTTTTTTATTGGTTTGAGGTTGAAATAAAATTCATTACAATTTTTACTACCTTCATTTTCTCCATAAAAGTATATGTTTTATATACTTCATATAATGTAAGTGGAAAGTAAGCACACATCTTGTACAGAAGCCACATGACCAGGGACGCCCTAACAAATTTTGCAATTAAGAAAAATACCAATATTTACCTGTATACAGCATAGGTGTGATACTCGTTCATGTGTTGGATTCTCTCCTCAAGTTTGGCACTTCTCTGTGACTTGTCGATTGACATGGTGAAAAGATCAATGTAGGAGTCCAGGGAGAACTGGTACATAGGGTCTATTCTACCCATGTCATTGAGAACAAAGAACAAAATAGATGCCCTTTCAGCAGCCGGTCTGTAACCCTGTAATACACAACATTTAAAATAAATATGTATCATAGCTACTACTTTCAGTATTAAGGATTTTTAAAAACAAGTGCTTTCAAATAATTTGTTTGCCTACCTATACATACTGCACTTTTTCTGTTGTTGTACAATCATATCATTTTTTGCTTGATTACTCATTATTTCACTATAATTGATCTATTATAATATGACATTTGTGTATATATGTTGTGTTTATGTTGTGTACATGTAAACTGTTTATATATTGCAATTATGTTGTATACATCAGTTGGGGCCCACATGGAAGGAAACCAAATGTGTAAGGCTCCTTTAATAAAGGCGTTTGAAGATATTTGTTATGTCCTTTATCAATATAGACAAACAAGTCTGTTTGCTTTACATGAAGTGTCTCTCTTTTGTATTTAAGGTTATAGAAATATCTTACACAGACACTCTTATATCGAAATAATTTTCACAGGTTAGAAGAGAGCAAACCATCCAAAATTTAACATTTGTTTTTTATATTTTTGCCAACATTTTTGTTTCTGAAATCAATTGGTTTATGCAATTGTGAGCAGGCATTTTTTTTATCTATATGTAGATGTATCAAGTGTACCTCTCTGGCTGCATCAATTTTGACTTCTGTCTGTTCAGACACCTGCAGTTGTTCTGACACTTCCTGTGATGTCACCTTAGATGTCTGTAGTGTGTTCACCAACTGTTCATCATCCAACAAAGATCCCTTTGTCTCATTCAATAATCTGTCAAAACAGAATAATATACTCAATTATATGTGCATTCTTTATTCATTAATCTGTGAATAGATACTTTTATACTCAATATTTAAACTATTGTTTCAATAATATGTGGACATAGAAGTTACTAATTAATAATTTATAGGTCAGAAACTTGAATAACTGAACAGAAAAACATTTCAATCCGTAATATACTGAGTATGATTGAAAAAGTCACCAAAAATATGTTATTGCAATAAAATGATTTGTAAAAATTAATTCATTGAATTCATTTCTTACTAAGCGTGCTGTTAGAATATGATAACAGAAACATTTTAAGTGAAAAAAAATTTGGGATAAATGATATTTATCAATCTTGTAATAAGATCTCTGTAGAATATAAACTCTGAAGTTTGTGATGATCACAATGAAAGTGCACAAGACATTCATAACCAAAATTACCTCAAGATTTCATCTTCTAGTTCCACCAGTTTCTTTTTACCCTCAGCAATACTTCTCACCAAACTATCTTTCTTCTCTTCAAGGTCTGGCCTCTCCTTTCTTACAACAATACCCAGTAACTGGGCCTCCAAACCTGAACATTAATAATAATTGTCACTTTACATACAATAAAGAACAAGAATTAGTATTCTTAATAATTAACATTCAGACATACGATTCTGAACCAACCATGCCAAGGTCCTGTTTTTGTAACATTCTGTGTACAATAACTTAAATCTTTACATTGGAAAACAGTATGTGAACAAGTAAAAAAGCCAAACTGTTGTTTTAAGACAAAATCTGCAAACAAACTCTTAGAATCAAATTTGACCATATATGTAATACCCACAGGAGCTGTCCGCAAGACAGTGTTCTTGACAATTCTCTATACTTGACAGTAACAAAACATTATAACGGTATGACGGCTACAGTGATACCAATGCTGGGGTGAGTACAACAGCTCCCCCTATTTTTCTAATAGTGGAGCTAAAAACAGATTCGTGAAATTTTTTTTGACAAAAGCTTGATCTTATGTCAACTTTTTGGAAAACTGTTTTATCCACAACTTTGCATACCTTGTTCTTTGACAGCAAAGTTGACAATGGTAGTTTTTGTTGAGATCTCTGGTGTGTAATGAGGATTGCTCAGTTTTGTTGTGATGTAGAATCTAAACTCAGGGTTGTATTCTATCTCTTTATCACCAATCCTGATCATGTATGCTCCACCTTTAAATGTAAATAATTTTATATTTATGTTTTCAATTTTTAAATTGAATACTGCATTCATACCAGTTATATACAATCTACATATAACTGCAGTGTTGCATCTAGAATTTCAAAATTATGGGGGATTGTCCCCCACTCAATCGAAAAATGTGGGGGATTTGAAAAAAATTTGGGGGACATACATTTACCTTACAATATGACATACCGAATAGAATTCATTTATTTTACATTCAGGCATTTTTGACAGCTATCGTCCGCTCAAAAACGGAAGTAGAAAAAATAAAATATTGACGAATACTACAAAACACACCCGAGATGACTTAGTCGGCTGCTACACGCGATTTAGTACGTATTTTAGTCATAACCACGAGTGAAAACAAACATGGCTGAAGCGTTTAAGATACGATGAAGATAAACTGAATTAAGTTGAAAAGATAGTTAGATGCGCGACTTGGCGCGCACTGACTTCATTAAAATGCGCGATCTTCATAAAAAATGCGCAAATCGCGCAATCGCGCGGCCTAGATGCAACACTGTTACTGATAAGTGGCTACTAAAAAAATTTTCTCTCATTACTTCTTTCAGAATAAGAATAATTTTCAGTGCAAGAAAAATAAAATATAACATAAAATATATTTCATATTTTACTTTCTCTCTAGGACAACATTTGAAAAAAGGACCTTTTCAATGAAATACAAGTAAGGCTACAGCTCCCGTCTTGGTATACTGGTGGAACAGGCTTATGACTTAGTTCCAGCAGTTTAAGGGTAAAAGGTGTGCTGAAAGTGGCAGAAAAGACATTCTTAAGTATCTTTTTTAAATTTTCTAATGTCACCTACCAAAACCTTTGGGGGGAGAAATACTTTATTCTATGAAATTTTACACTCACCAATTTTCATAAGTGACTTGTTAAGGACAGGATCAAGAGAGGGGTCAAGTCTTTCCTGTACATTCTGAAGTAAAACTGGTAAACCAAACTGTATAGCACCTTCTAATGTTCTCATGTAATCAGATTGCTGTAAATCTATCACCTTCAAACCCTGTAACATCAATCATACACTCGTAAAAAATAGTCCTTTAAATATTTGTTGGTTTTAGAGTCAGATCAGTGGTACGGTAATCATATAATCACCATAGTTCAGTAACTGGTTAACTTCTTATATAATTTAATAGGAGTTAACCTGTTACTGCACTAAGGTGATGATTTACAGGCAGATGCTTGCCAAAAAAACAAAAAACAAAACAAAAAAACACCTGTCCATATCCTCCAAGTAAATCGTTCAATAAAGCGCTTAAGAATAAAAGTTATCAAACAAAAAAAAGTTATTGAAAAATAGTCATATTAAGCCAATGATTGGGTTTCATGAATTTATGTTTTTAACACAAGGCACTCACATTTACATGATGTGGCAGATAAGTCTTGTACATCAAATAAAAGTCAAATTACACTAAATAAGGTAGATGAAACAAGATTGAACTTTGTTATATGTAAAAAAGAGATAAATTAACAAAAACATTGTTGGTTTTCTTTGGCTGCATTGCAAGAAATGCTCAGAAATATATTTTACAACTTCCAACTAGAACTGCCACTATCATGGCGTGAATACCCCCGCATACCACTTTGTCAGAATCAACAGTGGCCATTTAGAGCTCAAGGACAACCTCCCTGCCAAATCTGAGGTTACTAAGCCAGTGCATTGCTATGTTATGTATTCTACATGCTTCAAATGTGAAAATGTCAAAATCAATACATTGCGGACAGGACATTCTTTAGCAATTGAGAAGAAAAGCTTTTTTTGTCACTGTCCCTGTGACCTTGACCTTTGACCCAGTGACCTCAAAATCAATAGGGGTCACCTTATAGTCATGATCAACATCCATGCCAAATATGAAGACTGTGGGTCAAAGGAATCTTAAGTTAATGGGTGGATAAACTTTTTGAAGTCAAAGTCCCTATGACCTTGACCTTTGATCCAGTGACCTCAAAATCAATAGGGGTCATCTACTAATCATGACTAACCTCCATGCCAAATATGACGACTGTAGATCAAAGGAATCTTAAGTTATTGGGCGGACAAGCTTTTTGAAGTCAAGGCCCCTGTGACCTTGACCTTTAACCTGGTGACCTCAAAATCAATAGGGGTCATCTACTAATCATGACTAACCTCCATGCCAAATATGAAGACTGTGGGTCAAAGGAATCTTAAGTTATTGGGCGGACAAGAAACAAGAGCTGTCACAGGAGACAGCGAAGCTCGACTAATAAAATACTGGACGCAGTAAGGAGGACAAACTATGAAAGAAAAATCAATTATGTATAATTATGTATTAAGTTATAGTAAAAAAATAACATTTTTTAACATAAATTCCAAGATCAAGGGGAATAATTCTAGAAATAGTCATGCTAGAGTTATGGATCTTGCCACACAACATTTGTGTAATGATAAGAAATATATATTTGAAGTTTGAAGTAGATACCTTAAAAAATAAAGAAGTTATTATATTTCTTAAAGAAAATCTTAAGTTCAAAGACAGATAAATCTGTAAATATTGCTTCAAGAGTTATGAACATTGTCACATGAAATGTAATTGATGACAAGGAATAAGTATTTGAAGTTTGAGGTAGATACCTTTAAAAATTAAAAAGTTAAAATAAAAAATAACATTTTTCTAGTAAATTAATCTAAGTTTATGGGGAGATAATTCTTGCAATATTGGTGCTAGAGTTATGAACCTTGTCACATAAGATGCGGATGATGATAACGTAAATATATTTGAAGTATGAAGTTGATCCCCTTAGAAATAAATAAGTTAGAGTAAAAAATAATATTTTGTATGGAAAATTCTAAGTTCAAAGGGAGATAAATCTGAAAATATTGGTGCTAGAGTGATGAACCTTGTCACATAAGATGGGGATGATGATAACATAAATATATTTGAAGTATGAGGTTGATACCTTAAGAAATAAAGAAGAAATAGTATTTTTTGCGGAAAATTCTAAGTTCAAGGGGAGATAAATCTGAAAATATTGGTGCTAGAGTTATGAACCTTGTCACATAAGATGGGGATGATGATAAGGTACATATATTTGAAGTATGAGGTTGATCCCTCAAGAAATAAAGAAGTATCAGTAAAAAATAGTATTTTTTAAGGAAAATTCTAAGTTCAAGGGGAGATAAATCTGAAAATATTGGTGCTAGAGTTATGAACCTTGTCACATAAGATGGGGATGATGATAAGGTACATATATTTGAAGTATGAGGTTGATCCCTTAAGAAATAAAGAAGTATCAGTAAAAAATAGTATTTTTTAAGGACAATTCTAAGTTCAAGGGGAGATAAATCTGAAAATATTGGTGCTAGAGTTATGAACCTTGTCACATAAGATGTGGTTGATGATAAGGAACATATATTTGAAGTTTGAAGTTGATACCTTAAGAAATGACAAAGTTATAGTGAAAAATATTTTACTGCACCAAAACTTTAATCTAAAATCTGGACGCGGACGCGGACGCTGACGCCGGGGCGAGTAGGACAGCTCTCCATATACTTCGTATAGTCGAGCTAAAAACCGACGGACAGCCGGACAAGCTGATTCCAGTATACCCCCCTTACAACTTTGTTGTGCGGGGGTATAATTATTCTATCAACCTAAATTACTTATTTGTTAAGTTACAAGATACAATATATATACAATTACAATAAAATCACCATGGATTCAATGTTTTTACAATGCCATATTCTCAAAATACTTATTTCCAGTAAATTTGGTTAAAAAAACCCATATCAAACAATGGAATTTAAACTCGTAAAGCTTTTAAACATTTATGTTGTGCTGATTTACTTCACAAATATGTGATTGTACTCGGCCCCTTATAGAGCAATTAACAATGTACATGTTTATACAACAATCATTATGTGAACAACTTCATATTGTACATGTACTATGTACACAAGTCTTACATCAAATGGATTTCCATCCCAAGGTGGGAGCTATTCCATAAAACCATTATCATGTATTAAACAAAATACCCCCAAAAAAAGCAAAATATAATGTACAGTATACAAAAACAATTAAAAGAAACAAGTCAAATGTAGTTTTCTCTAGAGAAATAGATATAGGAAAAAAAATCTGTAAAATCTTGAATATTTTCTCTATATTGATAAAAATGGAAAAATAAAAACATGCAATATAATTATAGAATGCATGATAAGAAATACTGATTTCATTTAAGTATGACAACAATTTTACTTAAAAAGATAAAAAATAAAAGATTTGGCTACTTCATTAATGGCATGCTATGAATGTCTCACTGTCTGTGAACATACTTTCTCCCCTACATAAAATACATTGTATATACATTATAATTCATATGATCATTACCTTTGAAGCCTCCATATTCTTGATCCACTTGATAGCCTGACCTTGGGGATCCACCATCAACGGCCATCTGCTAGCACTTGTTACTATGACACCATTTTCTGTTGAGAAACTGTCGCTAGGCAACCCTTGTATATTCCAATCACGTACATTTGTTGGCTTGGCCATAAACTTGGAGAAGTCAAACATTGGGTCACATGGGACACCAAGTTTCTTGACCTGAAAAAAATCATTCACTGATCTGTTTATGTCACATAATACAATTAAATTTAAGAGTTAACGCAATGATGCAAAATTGTTACTAATAAACAAATTTGTTCAATTTTTCGTGTTTAAAGTTACTATAAAGTCCATGTGACAGGTAACCACGTCATGTATAATATATAGGAGTAGAATAATCAAATTTTGAAAACATTTTATTTTGAATTTAAATAATAAAATAAAATATGCATTCATGAATTAAATGATTGAATAAACTGAAATGAATAATTCTACTTGAAATAATATTATCAGGTATGAGTGAGCACCTAACACTTTATAAACCCAAGCAGCATATGTAATTGCTTGCTAAAGCACAATTTTTTCTTACAGTCATTTTTCTTCATACCACTAAAGTCAATTAAAACATCTTAAACATAAACTTAAAACAAATTTCATCGTTACCTCAGCAAGCCAGACTTTATGTACAAGCTCATCTCTGTAATTGGACAGGAAAGGTCCGATATATGACATGAAAGCTGCAGCTATGAGACAATCTCCGATCAGGAATCCCATCCTCTCCTCCAAGTCCTTAACTGTCTCCTCCCATCTAATCCTCTCACCAGCCAATCCTGTTTATACAATATTCAAACTTATAACATAATCTCATTTTATATTACTATACTTTATTTTATTTTTTTGAATATTTAAAAATCTGGCATTTCAAAACCTCATTTTCTACAAAATTTTAGTTCAAACATATTTATTCAAGCGCGATTGTGAAAAAAGTTCTTGCAACATATATTAATCACTTTTGAGTCCTCTTCCTGGAACCGACCAGTACTGGTGTCATATGAAGAAACATGGGCATGACCTGATATGGGCTCAAACCCATAATCCCTGGGTTGAGAGGCAGACACCTTATTTGGCAGGCTACCAAATTTTATCATTGAATTTCCCAGTTATAACTTTTTAATTTCCCGTTGTTAATTTCAGAATCTTCAAAAGGGGGAAATTAAAGCAAACACTACAGCATTGGGTTAGACTGTAGAGATTTGCAAGCTGGCCTTTCTTAAAGCAGCTGACATAGGCAATTCAGTGAATTCTAAGCAATGAAGTAGATAAAAACATCCTTTGAAGAATACATTCTATAGTAAAGTATGTTAAACAGTGGCACAAAGTGTCAGCATCAATGACAATTTGCTCAAGAATGCTTATCTGATAAAAATTAAAACACCACCTCCCCTTCTCTCTGCAGAGCTAACAGGGCTGTCCTCTTAACAAAGCATATAGTAATGAATGATATTTTAAAGATAATCTTCACAAAATGGACTGCAAACCTGAGACAAGTTTGGCAGCTCTGTCCAACATAAGCTCTGTATGCTCAGCTTTTCTCTTCAGTTCTTCCTTCTGGTTCAACTTGTCTTGATACTGCTTCTGTAACTCGGCCATCTTAGCCTCAACCTAAACATAAAATAATTTCTTTTTGTTTCAAATGTTTTCTCAATGTGTTCTTATATAAGTTAAAAATATCTATTTAAGACTGAATGTGAAACAAGTTCTTGCAACTTAATTTATTCATGTTTGGTTGTGTTTCCTCAAACTATTTGGAGCTAGTGTCATATGATTAAACATGGTTGTGATGCCTGAGTAGTGCTTGAACATACTATCTTTAAGTTAACAGGCAGATATGTAAACATGTCAACAGCATTTGTCATATCATACCTAGATCAACTTATTTATAAAATTATGGTACATGTATTTAGTCCTTTTAACCCAATATACCATAATGAATTATTACCCATGACATCCCCTGCTTACAATATTGGGCAGTAAAATAGTAAGTTAAGGAATATCAGCAATGACTATACTGGTGGTATGAAAAAGTTATTGTTGTTGTTGTTAACATACAAAGAGTTTTTTTTTTTTTTTTATTCAGTTTGGGTTTTACATCACACCAACACTATAAAGTCATATTGTGGCTTTCAAGGTTATAATGCTGTCGAAAGACTTCAGATACCCTACATTGGTTACTTTTTGTATGAAGAGTTAAATTTAAGCAAAACATCTCTTTCAAGGCTGCAGTATTGTTTTAACTTATATCAAACTAATCAAACATGTCACTTTACCTCTGCAAGTTTAGCTTTAGCATCACTTAAAGCGTCTTGCTTTTCCTTCAGTTGACTCATTGCGGCATTCAGCCTCTGTTTCTTTGGTTCTACAACTCTGTAAATACGTCCATACACTTCCATAGCTCGTACCCACATGCACAATGACTTGGCAGCCAGAGAAACACGCCCAATAATCTCTGGCTGGAAATCTGTCTGAGCTACATACTGACCAATCTTCTTCAGTACTCGATCAGAGATATTGTCTTTGTCAAATTCAAACAGCTGCTTCAAGAAATTCTGGTCACCTATTCAACAAGAATGAATAGTTAGCATGTCATTTTACAAATTTATCAATTTTGTATTAAGCCATCTTTCTTAATTTGTAAATTCTGTCAAATTATTACCATAAATTTCAAGTTGTTAACATTAAATTGTATAGTATATAAAATATATGACAGTGTATTTGATATATGATCTAGCCTAAAATATTCCATTACTTCACTTTTTTCATAAGAATAAAATAAACTGCCTTTTTTTAAAAGTTTATTGTTTCTCATCAAACAAACTGCATAATGAAATAGAACTGAAATCACAAAGTTAATTATATCAATCAATTATCATTTACTGATAGTTTTATTAAGTTTTATTAATTGGTTTAATAAGTTCACTATACAGTTATTGTTTTGTTATATTTGTAATATGAGGAATTTTATAATTGGTTTAAAAAGTGTGAAGAGATTTATGCTGAATCATACAGGCCGAAGAATGAAGTAAAACTGTTTTTAATAATTTTGTATGAAGAAAAATATTCTGAAGTACTATTTGAAAAATAAATAGAAATATAATCAACCTTCTAATTAAGTGTGTTACCTTTTTTGGTCAAACCTAATTTGCTCTGATGATTATGAAGTAAAATTACCTTATTATAGTCCTCAAATAATGTAGAATATCTGGTGTTACCAAATTTATTACAATAGATATTGAAATTTACTTCAATTTAGCTATGAACAATACAATATATAATCCAAACAATACATTATATATGTGCAACTGAATTTAAACTCAAATCAACATTGTCTTAAAGCAATCAAATAATGAATTAAGACTAAAATAAAAACATGAATGGCGAGAAAAAAAACAAACAAACAAAAAAAAACAACATTAAAACAAAAAAAGAAAAAAGAAAAGAAAAAAGCCTGGTACCAAGTTGTCGCTTAGCTTCCATCCAGGTTGGTTCCTGGCAACGTAAGATCATTACAGCTTCCATTACCTTCTCAACTAAAGCTGGGGGCCGACCATATGACTTGATTTCTGTCATGTCTTTCTTGTTAAGAGATTCCAAGGCCTGATTTTAATGGGAACAAACAGGGATGGTATAAAAAAAATCACCGCAAACATGATCCAAGGTTAAAGTTAGTGAAGCTAAGAAAGAGAACTGTGAATTCATTTGATTATTTTTAAATATCGGCTTAAAGCAGCAACTTAAAATATACAAATCTAAATAAATTATGCTCAGTATTTCAAAATTTGAAATCACTGAAAATCAATTTATAGGATCAAATTTGGAACTTTATCCAATACATTTTAACATTTTTAAACTGAAGATGTAGACAAATATTTTTACATTTAGACCACAAAAATGTTAGCCATTATAAATAATGAGATCACAGTTTTCTTCCTAATTGTCAAACAGTTAAAACTCTCCTCTTGTTTCTTCACAAATCAGGTTTTTTTTAAAATGTCTCTCAGAAATTATGTTCTGGTAAGTTAAAGTTTATTGGAAAGTGTTAACTGCCATGGTTTGAGAAACTTGTGATACATGTAAGTAAATAAACAATAAGAAGAAATGTCAAAGAAAAAAAAATGTATCAAATGTTTTGATTTCAGACATAATCTTTATGTTTAATTTAAATTCTTTCATCTTATCATTAATCTGCATGTGGGCATAACTTGAAGATGGTGTCTGAAAATAAACTTTTGACTTGTTTCTCTTTGACTGTACTTAAAATAGGATGAAATTGATGTACACGAGTTTATAGTACATGTTGAGTTGAGACTTAATTTTAAAACATTTTTGTGCTCAAATAAGCAAAAACAATGCATTGACTTTAGCTATCATTTTCATCCTGTTTTAAGTATGTAAGAAAATAAAGATGACAAAGCATGGGCCCCAGTATCAAAACAGCATAAATAAAATGTCTGCAGGAAAATTGAAACAAAAAAAAAATCTGTATTTATAAAGCAAAACTTAGGAGTGCTTGTGCAAATAAGGACCAGATCTGGATTAAAAACAAACAAAAAAACAACAAGGCATTGTGGTAAAAAGCAATTATAAATTAAATTGTTAAGTTAACATTTTGCCAAGCAATGGGCAATTAATTGATCAACAGCCTTGCACAAAACTATGTTAAAGCAATATATCTACTTTTCCGAAATCAATTCTTATTAAAAAAAATTGTTATACAAATTCAGAGTTTTCACTGGTGTCTTATGAATTTGACACAGTCTCTACGAGGGATTGGGACAATGGCTCTTTGACTATGTAAACATAAAGGAAATCACAATATTTTGTTTTGAATTCACTAGTTCACACATAGTGGATGAATGTATTGGCTTACAGTATCTTATAAAAGCACTCTGATAGATTTACAAATGTAGTTAAACTTTGACATCCTGTTTATAGTTGCCTTAGCTTTGAGAAGGTTAGTCTCAGACAATCAAATAGACACTTTAATCAACTAGTAAACAGTTAAAACGAGGGAATTAAAAACTGAAAAACAAAACATAAGTACAAAAAAAGTTAAATAATCATGTTAGCTGCATAAAACACCATAAATATCTGTGAATAAAGCACAAACAGAAAGGATAAGTGGTAATGCAATCATCCAAAAATGTGAATCTTCACTTATACTGCTTACAAGTAATTTATGTAATGTCTTATTCCTGCAATGAATTTATAGCAACAATATTTAGACAAGGCAACTTGCCTGGGCTGACCTAGTCTGTACCAAGGCATAAGCCAGTCATTAGAACTGTTAGGGCTTAAAAAGTTCTTTTTAAAATGCAATGTTGTTTTTTTTTTATGAATTATTTTCTTGTTGTTGTTACAAACATTTCAAGTCAGTCAATCAGTCACTTATACTATATTTTGTTTATCAAATCAATAAGTTTTTTGAGAAAAATAAAGCAGCCATACTGCATTAGTTTTATGCGAGCTAAAAATGCTTTAAGTAATCAGTTGCATGTAAAATTCACATTTTCAGGTCGCTTAAGTAACTGAATCACATAGTGATAAAAAAGGGAGAGGATTGCAAACAAAATAAAGGTTGTTCGTTGGTTAGAAATGTGCGATCACATCTATGACTTTATTACCAAGTTGGCGTTTTGCCTCAGACCAGGTTGGCTCCTGGCCTCGCAAGATCATCACCGACTCCATCACTTTCTCTACGAGGGTCGGAGGTTTCGCGTATGATTTTATTTCTGTCATATCCTTCTTGTTCAATGATTCTAAGGCCTGATCACATAATAATAGATTAATTTTAAGTCATTTTACTACATTTATTTAACAAAAACAGAAAAAATTATTAACCCTTAACCTCCTGAATTTCTTGAATTTACTAGTCCAGCTTCCAAATTTCAATCCATCCATTATAAGTTATGGGGGTGACAAGATGAAAATGTAAAGTTAGTGAGCCAACAGTACAGCGCCTGGTCAGACTTCATAGATGGAAGTGAAGGCTTGCCTGGCTCTATACTGGTTGCAAAGATAATCACATTGTGTTCTGGCAGGTTAAGGATTAATGCTATATAAAAACACAATATTCACTTAGTTCAAAACAATAATAAATTTTCATCCACAAAGAATAGGTAATTTATGACTCAGTCCTCTGAGCAAAACTAATATATCTATGTTTCAAGAAAAACCAGACTCGAAAGTTTTGCCATTCCTAAAACATGGAGTATGAAGTAGATATAAAATAAATGTAAATATGTACCGCTAAAGCTTCTTCAAGAGCAGGTAACGCCTCGTTAAGATCACTCTGAGCAAGGTCTGCCATATGCTGACATTTTACTTCTTCATCGGCTATTCTTTCACTCTTCTGTGCTACAGACTGTTGAAATAGATACAAAAAATTCCATGAAGAAATATGCAAAATTTCCAAATAGGCTTGTGCTGGCCTTCAACCTCTGTGCCCAGGGTGTGGGAGGGGGCCTGAAGACACAGCTAAATGCTATGGCAGAACACCATTGAACAGATGATCTTTTAACACTTGAAATACTTAATGTTTTTATCGTGCATGTTTTCTGCATATAGTATTAACACATTTGTTTTAGATGGTAGGTAAATCTTTAACTGGTAAACGTTTAATCCAAGACATTTTTCACACAAACTGTTCAAATGAACAGAGACTTTCAAGAACACATGAACTTTAAATACAGGTTTTCTATGATAAAAATTTTAAAATATAGGTTAACAATGATACATGTATAATGTAGCCCCTTACACCTACTTGGATAATCAGCAAAGAAATGAATGTTTGCCATATCTAATTACCTTCTGTTGTTCATCAGCCTCACGTTTCTGACCTACAATAATGACTAGATATTCCTCACACTGTTTCTGAAACTGGGCCACTTTCGTCTTCGCCTCTTCCAATTCCACAGACATCTTTTCTACCTTTTCTCTAGTATCATCAATCTTACTAAGACCATTACGAAGTTTGTTAGCCGCATCTCCTAGTTCTTTTTTCTTTGAGAACAAAAGTCTGTAAAAAAATCATTCTAAAATAAGTCTATGGTTATTTAAGGAACATGTTCATCAAAAAGATCCCTCTATTTTGCAAGTTTAAGGCTATCTTATAGTAAATTACATTTTTTTGTAATTTTTAGTCACAAATATTCTTATTGATAATATAGATCTATTGTGGAACAATTTTGTTCAAACAGAAACTGATAGTAGCATTTATAGTTTTATGCCTAATTTGATGTGTAATTTTTTTGCAACAAAATAAATGTATAAAACAAGAGTAAAACTTAAAAAAAAAATATTAACTCAAAATGTGAAAAATAGCACCATTTTTTTCAGTAATGGTTATACATGTGCAAGACCTCATAACTTGCCATAGAAATTGACTGGTTGATTTTGATTAGAAACTTAATTAAAAACCTCTGTGTAGGCTAAGTTGTACAGACATATTGGTTCTGATTTCAGACATAAGATCATTTAATTCATAACATTATAGTGTTGAACCTCCAAACTTATTTTTTATATTAATACTTACTTTTTATAGCCAGAGACAAGTTCGAGATAGTTTGTGGGTGTGACATAATTATGCCTCTTCATTTCTGCGTACATTTTCACTGACATGTCAAACACTGATTTATGCATGACTGAGAAAATTTTGGCCAAATTGCCCTTATGGCTATCCTGTGTGGTAAAATAAAGGAAATAGAAACAGTGAACATGTGAACATGTGAACTAGAACAGTGAACATAACTGTGAACAAGGCATGACTTCTGATGTCTGCATGTAAACCATTTCTACATTGCTATCCCTTATTCTGCTGAATTTCTTAAATGAACTTGTCCAGCTTCCATTTTCGGACCTTTCCATTGTAAGGAAATCAAGTTGAAAAGTCTAAAGTTTAATCTTCAAAAGTATAAAGCTTTGCATGACTTCGCTATAATGCAAGCTGACCTTGCTTCACACTGGTGGCAAATATTGTGTAGTCATAGTTAAAGCAGTTAAAATCTTAAAATCATATCAAAATGCCAAATTCTTTCCATAAAAAAAAAAACTCTTCCAAAAGTTTTCTAGAATTTCATTTTAAAAACTTGGAATAATTTACCATTTTGTTGATTGTAAAACCATCTGTTTTGATTATTTTGTGTAAAAGTGAAAATTGAGAAAGCTGTCAAAACTGATTAAAGGAAAAACAACAGAATTCAGAAGACATATCTTAAACAACATTAGGACAAAAAGACGCCTTGTTTCTGGTTTCAGAATAACCTACTTTGAAGTTCAAAAAGCACTTCATTTTGCAATAAAAATAAACAAACCAGAAACAAACAATTTTCTTTTTGCCTATATAATGTCAAGCAATACCAAATAAATAAATCAAACATAAAATTTCCAACCTGTAATTAAATCAAAATAAAGAAGTAAAAATTGACAGCAACAATATCGTCTGAACATGTCTTACGTCTTAAATCCTTTACAAAGTTCAAGGTAATTTATTGGTGTGACGTAATTATGACGTCTTAAGTGGGTCAGCATCTTAACCGAGCAGTCGATTGCCGACTTATGCATCACAGCACAAACTTTACCCACGTCTTCATTCCTTTTACGCTGACTAGCCGACTTACGCATCTCAGTTAATAGTTTACGCTTGTCTTGAATCTTTTTTTGCTGAATTATCATTGAAAGTGCATGACAATGAACTGACTAAATATCTTATTAATATCATAAATAAAATAGCAAAGAACAATACAGAAATTTAGTTGAAAGGGACTCCACTGAGGTTTTTTGACATGATGGGACTGAAAATATTTTTTTTTCCAGATAAATGTACCATTTGATGTAGGTTTAGACCACTAATCTTTGTGCACAATTTCAGATCATTCGTGCACTTCATTTTTCCAGAATAATTATTCAAGTTGTAAAAAAATGACCCAAAATGAAAAGCGTTTAAATGCTTTTCACTCAAATCGGGCTAAGAATAAAAATACGATTTCCAATTTATTTCAAAGTATATTTCTTTACTATCTTTGCATATATTTCTGTTTAAAGTACCCCAGCTCATTTATGTAAGAAATTCAAATGTTATGATTTTAGGCTTTTAAACCTCAGTGGAGTCCCTTTAACCTTATATTTGAGAGGAAGGTTTGAAAGATTATTTTCAATTAATTAATTAAAAGAGCATTGCTTATCAAACTAGAACTACCACTGTCATGGCATGACTACCCCCTGCATACCCCCGCCAAATATGAGGTTACTAAGCCAGTGCATTGCTAAGTTATGTATTCTGCAAACTTCAAATGTGAAAATGTCAAAATCAATACACTGCGGACAGGCATTCTTAAGCAATTGAGGGGAAAACATTTTTTTAGTCAACAACCCTGTGACCTTGACCTTTGACCCAGTGACCTCAAAATCAATAGCATTCACCTTATGGTCATGATCAACTTCCTTGCCAAATATGAAGACTGTGGGTCAAAGGAATCTTAAGTTAATGGGCGGACAAGCTTTTCATATTCAAGGCCCCTGTGACCTTTGACCTAGTGACCTCAAAATCAATAGAGGTCATCTACTCATCATGACTAACCTCCATGCCAAATATGAAGACGGTGGGTCAAAGAAATCTGAAGTTAATGAGCGGACAAGCTTTTTATAGTCAAGGCCCATGTGACCTATACCTTTGACCTGATGACCTCAAATCAATTGGGGTCATCTACTCATCATGACTAACCTCCATGCCAAATATGAAGACTGTGGGTCAATTTAGGAATCTTAAATAATTGAGCAGACAAGCTTTTTAAAGTCAAGGCCCCTGTGTCCTTGACCTTTGACCTAGTGACCTCAAAATCAATAGAGGTCATCTACTCATCATGACTAACCTCCATGCCAAATATGAAGACTGTGGATCAAAGGAATCTTAAGTTATTGAGCAGACAAGCTTTTTGAAGTCAAGGCTCCTGTGACCTTGACCTTTGACCTGATGACCTCAAAATCAATAGGGGTCATCTACTCATCATAACTAACCTCCTTGCCAAATATGAAGACTGTGGATCAAAGGAATCTTAAGTAATTGGGCAGACAAGCTTTTTGAAGTCAAGGCAACTGTGACCTTAAACTTTGACCTGGTGACCTCAAAATCAATAGGGGTCATCTACTAATCATGAATAACCTCCATGACAAATATGAAGACTGTAGGTCAAAGAAATCTTAAGTTATAAGGCGGACAAGAAAAAACCGCCGGACAGACAAGCTGATTCCAGTATACTCCCTTACAACTATGTTGTGCGGGGGTATAATTATCTTGACTAAGCTCATCAACACACATGTGAAGTCCTAATCATCACAGCCCACCTTATTTAAGCTTATCTAAATCTATATGTCACAGGGAAATGAAATGTTTTTACCAACTGAACTCTGACATTAGTTTTAAGATAATTATATTCCGGTACTGAATGTAAATAGTTTACAAACCTCCTCTTCACTGCCAAGAGAATCTTCCTGTAGATATTTTTCTGCCACTTCCAGCAGAGCATCAAGTGGCCATTCACTAAACCAGTCAATGGTTGTACAGTTTACAAATGCTGGGTACTGACGGATGCGATTCCTGTAAATTTATGATAAACAATTAAACTTGACACAGCCGGCAATTCCTGTAAATTCATGATAAACAATAAAACTTAACACATAAATTTAGCCGCTCACTACACTAAATTTTTATAGTACAGTTGACAGATTGCTGTTCCTGTTGCTGTTCCTGTTGCTGTTCCTGTATGATATAAAGAATGAAATTAAAGGTATAAAGTTGCCATTCATGTTACAAAGCAAGAATACTCCTTACAGTTGCACGGTTCTGAAAAATGCCATTCCTGTAAATATATGATGTAAATTGCAATAAATTTCATGAATTTTCATTGCTTGACACACACTCTTTACATTAAAAAACACATGTGAATTGTCTCCTCTAAAGCGACCTACTTGCCTCCATAAAAATATTAGTAGTGTATTATTTAAGCTAAAAAAAAAATGGCATACAACTGTTGCGTCAATTTCTTACCTGCAAAGTTTACATTTTGGAGTCAAGTCATTTTGGAATATTTATATTTTATGCTTCAACCCTGTATCATATTTCTAAATAGTCTTTTTTTATTATTCTCAGAATAATAACCATTCTAAATCCTTCTTTCACACTAAAGTTAAAATTCTCAGTATCAACCTCTGTCAATTAAAGCTGCATGTCTCTAGTTGATTAAAAAGATATTCAAATAAACAACTTTAAGAAAATCATATGAGTTTAAGAAATGCATGAGAAAATTTTAATGTCTAATGAAAAAATATTAAAACAAATTGAACAAGCAATTTTGAATATTGTAATTTTAACACATTACCAAGTATTGGCTATCACTTCATATTTTGATAAATTCTACAATATTTGTGCAAACGTTTACAAAGTACTTTAGGCTAGCTTGAATCTTATCTACTTGCATACTTGATAATTCTGAACAGTTCTTTAAGTGCCATAAAAATGTGAAACTATCTGGAGGCATGCTGCTTTAAAAGTATGATTATAATAAAAAAAATTCACTTACCTGAATGGTTCACCAACTGGGCTCATACACAATACCACGTGGAGATTGGCACGGACTCGCTCGATCAGGAATGCAAATATGCTCTGAGGTGACTCGTCAATTCCCTCTTTCTTTGCCGTATCACTCAAAGCATTTCGCACCTGGCATAATCAAACGCAAGATGTACATTTGTAAATATTAACATATCAAAACAGAAGACTTCTGAATATCGAAACATCTGGTATGTGCAATAAAAGCAAAAGCTATCGAAATACATAGAAGTTCTCCTTTAACGTTTTACCTCAAATACTGTTTTCCTTAAAGATTCTGTTAAAAAAAAGAGTTTAAACGATACAAAAAAGAACAAAGCAAGAAAACAGATATACAAACCCTGTACTTTGTATGTTTAACATAACTGTAATTTATCGCTCCTATATATGGACTTTCTAAAAATCATTTATGATACAGTCCGAGACCTAGAGAAGGGAAAACTTCTATATTTTCAATGTATACCAAATGTTTCAAAAAACAGAATCTTCCACTCTGAGAGGTATAAGCACTTGGCATAGATCCTAGTGCCCAGTTTATGTACACCTTGAGGCTGACTTAATAATCATGTGTGACACACGGCTGCATTCAATAATTATATACTTATGTTTCCCCCTATCCCATCCGACCCCCATTCTTTTTCATGTCATAATGTAAAGTTTGTGTTCATGGGGCAATGGAATTACTGTGAATTCATCATCCCTTTTTTCTGTTATTTTTTTCTTAAATCATAAGCAATTGTTTCAAAATAACACAAAATTACATGCTAATGTTGGCCATGTTTTTTGAAAACGTTTTATAATGGCATGTCATAGCCTAATTTTATCTCTAAATGCATGTTGCTTTTATCCTTTTATGTACCCTATATACCTAGTTTTTATGTCAAACAACATTACTGAATCCTTGACTTACAACTATCATAACAACATATTAATATAAGAAACTACTTTTTATTGTACTTTCAGGGTAGGTTCATTTCAATAATTGAGGACCTTTAATTCTTCTTTTTCTTTAAATCCCCTGAAGGGCTGTAACCTTATAAAACTGATCTTACAAATAACAATGCTTCTTAAAGGTATATCCCAGGTTTGAAATTATAACCAATTACTAAAATAAGATAACAAAAATCGGGCATGCCATCTTTCCTGCTTACTTTTGGTCAATGAATGCAGCCAGTCTATTACTTCATTTTTTTCCCCCAAAAGGCCTTCCATATGTTAAAAAGTGTTAAAAAAGCAAAGCATAATAGTTTAGCCAAACTTGAGAAAAAAGTAGAAGAAAAACTTTAAGAGTATCATTTGAAATGTATCAAATCAGAATTTGTCAAACAAATTGTATTCTTTTAAAAAGTTAATTGTATTATTCATGATTAAACTAAACATGCATTTCTTGAGTATCAAACAACTTAGTATTTAAAAATTTCACGCATTAACTTAAAGAAAAGTTTTTGTCATATTGTATTGTATTAGATTTATTCAGCATGCATTATCTTGTAATGATTTGTTAGCTATTCCCATCAATAGCAAAGAAATACTTTTGCTGATTAAAAACATTTTTTACAAGAAACTTGTTTCAATATATTTACTTTTTTTTATATAAATTTTCAAAAAACTGAAAATATTTGAAATTGAAGATAATTTTGATAGAAATAAGAAATTAATTCTAAGAATAGAAATTAAATAAAATTAATAAATATAAATCGTAATTTGCCTTTTTTCATTTAAATCAAAATCATATTTAATGCCAGAGAGTTTTGATCAGTGAAGTCTGTCATACTTAATATCACCAATGGAATATCAGCCAAAATTACTTACAACCCCAAATTTCACATACATTGTATGCTTTTTATTATACATAAATTCCATTTAAATTGATGAATTGATGCTATAATCTGTTCAGTTTGATTAAGAAAACAAGAATAAGAAAGTTTCAAGAAAGATAGATAAAAGTATTAGTGTCAGAAAACAGTTTTGTAGTTAGAAAAATATGTGTGTAAGTTTGCAAAAGTATGGAAGGCCTGTTGGGACATTATAGCCAAACATTTCCACAACATAAAAAAGCATAAACCAAAATGTGACACACCTCAAGCCAAACATAAACATTGTACATACAAATTACAACCAAATATGTACAGACAAATGATACTGTCAACATTATACCAAATCTTACTACAACATCAACAAACTGTTACAACATACATGAAAATTTCTTCCATTTTCCTTGTTATTTATGATAATTTGTTTAATAACAATATTTCAAAATTAAAATTGCTTGATAATTATCTACTCAACAAAGTTTTCAGCCTCCAGCGTTTTGAGGGATTCAAACCCTCTTTATCAAGGAGTTTTTATATTTTTATACTTGATAAAGAGGGATTTAACCCCTCCAAATGCTGGAGGCTGAAAACTTTGTGGAGTAGATTATCATAAGTTACTTGTTTCCAGAATGATGTTAAAATTACTTTAAAATGATATAGAAGGTGTTTTTTTTTTTCAAAAGATCTTTAACAAAAATAGTAAAATTACATGAAAATAGCCATAAAAATAGTATATTAGATGGTTAAATGGTTTCAGGTATTCAAATTTGTTCCATTGAAAATATCAAACAAATTAATAACAAACGTACTGTAAAAATATCCCAAGAAAACAAGAAATATATTATATGACAGGCTTTGCAATAACTTCAAGTATATAAAAAACATCAGTGAAAATTGCTTGCCATTGCATAGATTAAAACATAATATAAAACACTAATATACTACACAGTTGACAAAACATAAAAAAGCGCAATAAAAAAACAACCCTTGTGTCATTAACAACAAAAAACAAGCTAGTGCTATACCTCCTCAAATTCATCAGCTTTATAAAGGTTCGGCACTTCTCCGCTACTCAGTACATTGTTAAGATCTTCCAGGAAACCTTCTTCTACCACTTGTACATCATTAAATAGGAAAACTGTCGGCTTGTTCTCTACACCAGCTTGGTAATACAGCTTCTTCAAATCTAAATCACAGGAAAAAAAGAAATTTTAAACTAGATGCCCGGAACAAAAATGACATGCCTATGCAGCTGAACTAGCCGTGCATATTTTTGCAGTTTGATCATACTCTATACTGTTGGCTGTGAAGTTAAAACCCTTAACTGCTAAATTTGTATAATAGAAAAAAAATGATTATAACAGGTTCAAGTATGATCAACTTGAATTCATCAATTATCTTCAAGTATTACAAAATCTGTGCAGAATAGAGATTTTGAGAGATATGAATCTTAAATTTTCATTTTTTAAGCAAATGAAAATTAAGTCAAGAATCTTGTCATTCTAAATAGTCTTAAGTGACAATTATTTCTACCATTTACTAACAATTACTATTTTTGTAAGAAAAATAAAAGTATAAACTGCACAGTTAACAGATTTACTGTACATTCACAAAAGTGATATAGATAACAAGTATTTGACTACAAAAGTATATTTTGATCTTGTTTGAAAATATTTGTTTAATTCTTGTCATTTAGCACTTAATTTGTACAATAATCATGAAGATTTCTTGCTATAAAAAGACATAGATATTAATACATTACAAAAACTTTTTTAATTCAATCCCAAAGTGATTTGATGTAAAGTTTGAGCAACTTGGCCTTAGAAGCTACCCAGCCTGTTCCCCATGCCCCACTCTCTCTAAAATATGAAATATTTATTCTGAACGTACCATCTCTGAATTCATTTTTCCTGTAGTGTTTTGTGACTTCAATCTGGAATGTTGTATAATCACAGATATTTGCGGCAAGTCTTGTTAAACTCTGACGTCCTGACCCTCCGATACCAATCAGCAACATGTTTCCACGAGGCTGTCTGATTACACGAACAATCTTTGAAACTGTAAATTATGAAATAATCAAATCAGTTTTTCCAACACACTTTACATGTATATTGTAACAAACCAGTCATGGTAATCTGTCTAGAGAATTTGATAAATTATTTCAGATTACTTGCTGTTACAATATAGAAAACCAATAGAGTGAATATAACAACTTTGGAAGAGGAAGATAGATGGATGGCAATGGTGACACAAATGAATAGGTTAACATTGCAGACTAGGATTGAGTGTCTGTACATGGCAGACAATGTTAACTGCAGCAATGACTGGTTTAAAAAGGTTTTAAAGTTCATAATTATTATAGCATTTTTAACATAATCTTAAATGTAATTTCAATTATACTATTGATGTACCATGAGTGATATCAGTTTCTAATATCTCACTTCTGAGAGGATAAAGTACAGCATTAGTTTGAATTAAGTACATATCATTCATCTTGAACTAAATATTTCATATATTTTCAAATAGTTTAAACAATAATTCATTTTCGTATAAACTTATACATTCTACAAATTGTACTTTTAAAATGAGGGACATGATTGCAAATGAAGTCAACAAGTTTTGTTACAGTAAATCTCTCTCCTGTATTCAAATATCTTACTGTGTTCTATCGCATCTCTAAAGAGTACAAGATCCATGTGTATAACTCCTGGTGTCTCATTATAGTCCTCTAACTTCTCCTGCATTAGTTTCTTCAAGTTACCAATGTCTGTAATGTCCTCATATATACCATTTGTTCCATAATAGTCACCTGTAAAATAAGATTAATATAATAAATGTCAATTTTATTATATTAACTATATTATATGATAATTACATGGTGAAATATCATAAAATTTAGACACTTCAGATACTTTTTGTTTGATACAATATTTCACAATTTGCATACCATAATATAATATAAGTATAACTGTTAAGGCGTTTTATTATTTTTCTCAAAGTTGACTTTTCTCTCACACTAGCAACTTTAAGATTACATGGGGACTATTCTTGATTTTACTGTTGGTTGAAGACTCCTTGCAGACCATATGTGCACCATTTTAGATACTTACTAGTACCTTGTCATATAAACTGCCCTTAACTGTATTAACTGGATTGCTTTCCTCATATGACATAAAATCACTTGTCTTGAGGCAGTTGACACAAAAGATAACACTTACCAAATATAGGTTGTTGTCTGTTGGGACAGATATTGTGGTAGGTCTGATCAAACAAGACAGTTAACACAAAAGATTACACTTACCAAATATAGGTGGTTGTCTGTTGGGACAGATATTGTGGTAGGTCTGATCAAACAAGACAGTTAACACAAAAGATTACACTTACCAAATATAGGTGGTTGTCTGTTGGGACAGATATTGTGGTAGGTCTGATCAAACAAGACAGTTAACACAAAAGATTACACTTACCAAATATAGGTGGTTGTCTGTTGGGACAGATATTGTGGTAGGTCTGGTCAAACAAGACTCCTAGTTTTTCTGTTATCAATGACACAAAAGTTTCCTTGTCTGACTCATCTACAAGACGGTCTGAGAACACCCTGTCAATCATAACCAGCTTATTATTTATTGTATGTCAATCATTTAAATCACATTATTCATCATGTTAACTTATAAAATGTAAAATATTGTAATTAATTTTTCACATGTTCCTTATCTAACATTTTAAAGACAGTCATAATGTTGGCAGAAAAACTACCCCTTCCTTAAAATGTATTCTTCCAATGGTAAAATCCTAATGCTAGTAAAGTTCATAACCAAGGTCAAGATTTGCTGTTGCAACTTCAGTGGGTTTAACTCAATCAGCAAATTTCATTCTCCCATTCAAACACATTCATTTGGAGTACAAGTACAGAGCTTAAGTTGAATGCCTGACAATCAAAAGAGCGGAGGTTTCAGCCAAATTATATTTCTTCACATACAATCAGGATCAATAACCCCAGTAAGGAGAATAAACAGGTTTTAGCTACATGCACGAACTAAATGTAAGTTGATCAATAATCAAAGACTGTAAAATGAATTAAAAAGATGATTAAGCAAGTTTTATATGATAAATGACATGTGACATGACATAACAGATACCTGAAAGCCTCGTGAATCCATAATCTAGTCATAGCATGTTTGGTATCATGGAAGTCCTTGTCTGCTCTTAGTAAACCTTGGAACAACTGCAATATTACATTGACTACCATTATTTAACGGTTTTTTTTTGTAAATACTAGGGGATACTATATTGATCAACATTCAAGTTCATAGCTTTATTTGTAAAAAAAGAATATATATATAGCTTTACATTTACTTGATCTACATTAATATTTTTCCAACTTGTTACCATTTGAATATTTTGTCAGACTGGTTTTAATGTTATGAGTTAAAGGGTAAAAATAATTTAGGAGAGTATCAAGAATTTTATAATCGATATTTTTGTTTAAACAAATCGTAGCCCGAGTACTGTGTTTATGTACCGTCCAATAATAAGGTATGTTACGGAGTTTATCCAGTCCGCATCAGTATTGAGTAAGACTAGTTATTAAATTTTCTTAGCTGATACAAAACAGTACATTACCCTTGAAATATCTCTCAAGTTGAAGAGATAGTGTATCTTGGTAGGTGTTGGTAGGAATTTAGCAACAACAGACAGGTATAATTCTATAGTAGCCTGGGTCATGATGTCTCCGATAGGTTTAACTTCCTCTTCAAAGTTCTGTAACTTCTGGTTAATCATACTTCCAAAAATTCTCTTGATCTGAGACTCCTACAATGTAATAATATATGACTTAAGTAAACTGTTAATTTCTCATGTTTGTAACTCGCAGACAAGATCTATTTATAGCAAACTTAAAGTCTGTATGATACTATTATGACAAAATAATCTATTATCACTCTCACAGATTTAGAAAAGCAGGTTGCCCTTTATGAATATTTCAGGCAGAAGCAGGCTTCTGAGAAGAATAACCAACACCCTGTATCTTAAACTTGTCATTTTTATAAATAAATAATTTTAAATCCCAACATGAAAGGGAAGTTTTGGCAGTATCTCCAACGGGGAATTTTTAAAATACAGCCCTACGGGGGTCTTTAACCTTTTCTCCAACTTAGTTTTTTAAATTTTTTTTCTATTCTGACTAAAATCAGATTTTCAGGTCAATGAAATTATGTTTCTTCCTACCAAAATCAAATGCCGAATGTAAGTTTAAGGGTTAGTAAATTTTTTTAACTTGCCCCTTAGGGTTTACTGGGAACAGCTTGAGGGGGGGTAAAAATAAAAAAGACAAATTAAAGGGGGTTCATCTATTAAAAAAAAAAGTTTAAAAAGATATATAAAAACCTTGGGAAAGTCTTTTGATGAGGTTAAACTTGCTCTGTAGACGAGGAGATATCTTCTGACGACCACCCCCTGGTGGACCCATAGCTGCCACCAAGAACATGTCCTATACAAATACACATGTAGATAATAGTGTTTGTCTAATGAGCTTTTTCTTTGGGATTATAGAACATTAAATTCTTAAAAAGAACTAGACATCTCACATAATCCCACAGAAATTTATTTTCTTTTAAATCAGAGAAAAGTAAATCGACTCATTAACTGAATACACCACTGAATATTTATTTAATGCATAACTTAATGCATGAAGATGATAAAAAAGAATATACGCTCAATTTAAAAGCCTCTTAGGTCAAACTCAATTGATTTTAAAACAGGTCATATGGTACCCATTTGATATCAAAATAACTTTTAATTTCAAGAGCATGCTCATACATGTAAATTATATACAAAACTGAGTAATACATGTAGCAAATATTGCTAAAAATTACTAACCTTAATGTATTTTTGTGTCTGCTTCATTCTATCATACCAGAAACCATAATCTAACCATAGCTTTATAAGCTCAAGTGGTGGCTGCGAGCCAAATGTGTCCTTGGCAGGCATGTTGAAATCATCTAACATTGTGAGCAGTTTTTTACCACCAATGGGTACATACACACCCTTTGTTCTCTTCTCCACTCTGCTCTCTATAATGTCTTGTACATTGTTGGATGTAGTCTATAAAACAACATAATTGCATAATTGCATAAAGTATAAAATCAAACCTGTCACTCTACGAACCAGTTATAGGCAAGACTGCAAGATCAGAATATAAGGTGTTTGCTGAAGGGTTGAGGTTCATTACAGTATAGTTTTGAACCCTTAACCTGCTGGTGGCAACTGATTCTACCTATATCATCATTGTGGATCAGTATCAGCTAGCCTATTGTGCTGCCAAATGTGCTGTCTAATCATGCGGAGCCCTGTTATCTAATCAGTCTGTTTATATCTAGAAATTTTCCCTAACAATGGATCTGTCCAGATTATATCCTGAACAAGTCCATATAAGATGTTTGCCTTATTTGGCATGGAAAGGGTTTACTGACTTATAAAATTTGTTGTGTTTCATTGAAACCCTGAAATGATCCCTCTAATACCTAAGTTGTTTTACATTAAATGCTAAATTAAATGGCAGATTAGTAATCTAATAATCGCTAGTCGCACGGGTTCAAACCCCGTCAGAGGCAAGTCCTTGTTTCCTTGAGCAAGAAACTATACACTCATTGCTCAGTACTGGTTGGTTTCAGGAACAGATTTGAAAGTGTGTCTATAAGCTTATATCTTCCTACACTATCAAACTTAAATAATTCTGTATAAACTAAATGCCAAATTACATTAAGTGAATATAAATGATATAACATATCAAGTACAACACAGTATTTCTAATTTACCTGAGCAGACATGTTGACAGTAAGGACACTGTAGGTTTTAGGATCAAGTTTAGCCAGGGTGTTTTCTGCGACGGATGTTTTTCCTGTTCCGACTGGACCAACTAACATGACTGGACAGAGATTCTTGATCAAGGTCTGTGTGAGATACTGGTATCTCACAGTGTCTACCGTTGGTACCATCAGCTTGAAGAATGGCAGACTGAAAAAAAAAAATCATAAGTTTTATCTTAAATAGCAGAATGTAGAATTTGCAATATGTGATTTATGATCAATGCATTTTTTTTTTCCAAATTGAAAATGAAAACCACAGTAAATTCATTAGATTTTATCAAATGCTGTTGAATAGATTTTAAACAAACAAAAGTTAATGATAAGTTATTATAAACAATTGATACATTTTGTTTGAGAGGAGGGTCTATTATAAAGTTGCAGTCAAATTAGAATGTAAAAGAACACACCAGAACTAGCAAAGTGGCTTATAACATTTTGCAGGGAATTTCACTTGACTGCCAGGTCATAATGATACCCATATGTTATATTTATATTAATTTTTAGCCAAATTAGAAAATAGTTACCTGGGATTGTATTTCCATCCATGTTTCAATTTCTCCTCAAAGTGGACCCATGTCTTGCCTTTGGGATCCACGTAGTACTCATAAATAGAATCTTTGTTCGGGAATGTTCCCTCCATCTCTCTTATGTATGTATCAATCTTCTTACGTCCTTCCTCATCCACCGTACAACAGATAGACCAAATCATACAGAACTGGAACCACAGCTCCACCATACGTGTGAAATTCTCGCTGTCAGTCTCATCAACCTAGTTACCAGAAAATACAATTCTATAACATTCTTACAATATTCCAAAACTTACTTTAGGAAACGATTGTGTCAGAACAGAGCATGGTTTCTGTTCATTATATTTTTGTTGGAATTTATGTCAAAGGTCATACGGTTACTTTCCAGCTTTACTGGTGGAGGAAGACATCTGCTGTCACTTCATGCATTATTTCAGGCACAAGCAGGCTGTGAGTTGAACCACCAAACTTCCAGAAGCTAGCTGGATAGATTCCTCACATGAAAGAATCAAAAGTTCCTGACAGAATTCGGACTCACATGGGTGAGGGGCAAATAATTTGAAGTCGGAGACTTAACCACTTGGCAACAATGATTCAGAAAATGTTTCAACCATTGTGAAGTCATTGAATTTTGAACCTATCCTTTCCTTCTTTAAAGATCCTCTACCAAACTAAACTAGCTCTCAAGGCTTGTTTAATGGTTCTTTCATGCTATATAAGTCAATGTCACATGACATACAGAGAGTAAACATACAAAAATATTAAAATCACATTTAATCATTTCATCATCAGCTAATACATACTTTTGTTTCTTTTAAAAGGTCTTACCCCATTTTCAACTGTTCCAAGAGAATCAAACAGTCTAGCAAGGGAGGCAACCATGTTTAGTTCAGCTGCAGGGACAAGTTCTGAGCAGTTTTTGTTCTTGAATGTAAGAATCTTGTCGAGGTATTTGTCCAACATTCTACGTAACTCTTCCACTAGTGCCTGCACAGGATAATAGACATAGGTATATAAACACTTATATATATTGAATGTTCAACAGTTCTGAAAAGTTTTTTTTGATTTTTTTTAATCAAAGATTATTATCCACAAATTGAAATTTCATATCTGATCCATATTTATACAATATTTTACAAACTCTCGAGCAATAACGTTGTCAGCTCTACAATAGAAAGAAAATTAATTGACTTTCTTTGCAGTAGTAACATTTACATAATTATAAAACCAGGGACATAGATCTAAAAACCCACTGATCTAGATTAAACTCTTGGCCAATAAAAGAAAATATGTCGAATGATATGAATTTTAATAAAATTAAACAGCAACTGCTAATTAAACACTGTATCTGATGTAAGAAAACTTTGTTAACACACCTTGGAGCTCTTTTTACTGAGCCAACTTTCTATGTACGGTTTCCAGCCCCAGTCTATGTAGTCACTGTACACCATACCACATCTAGACACGGTAGCTGGTGAAGCTACTGATAAATCTCCAACCTATAGATGACAATAACAATAAGTATATATAACTTTACATCATGTTCTTTTTCTTCAAATGAAAATTCTTTAACTTCCTTATAAAAAAAAACTAAACAATTTCTGCATCTTTTTTCCACTATCTATTTTGGAATTTACGCTTTTGCACAAAAAGTGATCTTTAAAATTGTATTTTGTTGTAATGCAATTGGTACTATTGATTTTTATATAATATAAATAAAATTTGGCTAAAGTGACTAAAGACAATTAGTAAAGGAAGTCTTAATATCAATGGTACTATCTGGATGCAAGTTGCAAAATAATAATGCACTGACAAGCACCTTGGTAGAACAATTGACCTTTCATTCATTAAAAATAAATGTTTTTCCTCGAATGAAAGAGTTAAACCTCGACCGTAAGCTGAGAAAGCTGAAGTTTTCATCTTTCTCCACTTGGTTCATGCAAGTGGCCTGGATCACTAAAAACATCACTTGACTTATTAAAAACTTACCTCAAAGAGAAGGGAGACTTGGTCAGGCATGGATATACGTTCTCCATTAATCAGTGTTAGAATCTTGTTATCATCCATGACAGAGTTCATACTCTCAATCCATAATGTATCTACAGGACCGTCAAATATCAACCATTTCTCATCAGGTTTTTCATCTATGTAAAGAAATTTTTATTCTTATAGTACTGAAAAATTCCACCCTTTAAAACACTAAATACTGAAGTTGAGCTCTTTTTATAAACTTTTTTAAACTAAAAATTCATTTCTTGTTGCAAGGTCTAGATGTTATTCAGAAGTTATTCAACTTGTGTGAAATATGAAGTAGATACAACTTTTCTACATCAGCGCCTATAAAACAAGTGGCCTTGTGGTTAAGGTGTCTGCCATTTAACCTACATGTAGATACCATAGGTTTGAGTCCTTCCATGTCACAACAAATGTGACACTGGTTAATTTTAGGAAGGGAAGTTTGGTTGCTAATGTTGACAAAATATACTGGTCAACCCTTTTAAACTTTCTTCAGTTGTGTATCCATTTTAATTTATCAAATTAATTTAAGGAAGCAGATTCAGGAGTGTTTGAAATAAGCTGAAAACCTTTTTTCAAAATGACGCTTTTATACATAAACACTTTTTATACTATGTAAACACTTCACTTCCCTGAAACGGGTCTGTCTCATCACCCCTAGATAAAAACACCATCTGCCCCATTATTTTTTTTTCAATTTCAAACTCTCCCGTAAAAATTTTCCCCCCCCCGGGGGGCCCAAATGTTTTTAAGGACCCAAGGGGTTAGTCCTAAAAAATGGAAAAAAATGTGGGAATAATCTGAAGTTTTCTTAAAAAAATACGGGTTTTAAATAGAGAGAGTATCTGCTTTCCATTGTTCATGTGTAATTAAAAGAGTCAAAAAGAGAAGACCACTTTGAGACTAGCATATTGAACCTTTAATAGGGAAGAAAACCACAAATCTTAAGCACATAAACACCATATTACCAGAGCAATATAGTTCTCTTTGATGGCAAGTTGCATTTTCTCATAGATTGAAAAACATTGCAAATACTAGTATTTGAGCAAAACAATACCCGTGGTATTTAAAGGCAGGTGCTCTTCAACAAAGTTTTAACAAAGTTTTAATTTATCAAAATTTTGGGGGTATACCTTATTTTGGCCGGGTACGGGGAAAAACTAGTTTCCCTGGTCCTTTCCCCCAAAACTGCCCATGGCCCCCTGAAAAACAAGCCCATTGTTTTTCCTTCTTTTATTGAGTCCCAAACCAACAATCATGACAGAGTGACGTGAAGTTTTGGTCTCGTAAAGTTGTATCACCTTGATTATAGAGTGCTCATTCACCATCAAACTGAGGTTGTTCATCTCGGCAATAACAGCATTCCTCATCTGTGATATATCAAAATATTCATTTTATAACTACATGTAAATACAAATATCATAGATATGAAACATTTCATAGTTCTAATTAACACATTTTTTCCCCCCATTTCTTTTAATCAATGTGCCTTGGTTATCAAATTTTCAAACAGTGAACAAAATCTTTTTTTCTCTGCAAAATTTAAATTACTATGAAAAAGACTAAAAATTATTCTTACATGGTAAAAACAGCAGTTCAGAAATTAACTGATGTGCAGCTAGTTATCTTATAATTTAACTAAATCAGATTCAAAAAGGGCATACCAGGGACATCAACATGCCGTGTGTTAGCAGAAATGTACATAATGTTGCCAAAATATGCCTAGTACAATATAAAATGAAAATATGAATTCAAATAATTTAATGTAGACACTCTACAATAACCATAGCAAATACACAACTGAACATAAAAATCGTACCTTGGAGTAATCAATTGTTGGTGTCTCAATACCAGGGAACAAGTCTGACATGATACCATTAAACAATGGCAGATCTACTGATGTCAACTTGGCAATGTTCATGTCCTTCATTGACAGCAACAATATCTATATAACATAAGAAAAACATACTATAAATATGTGCTCATAATGTATAAACAAAATTACTTTCGATTAGACTTTAAATCACACTTATAATATTCATTGAATGAATGAATGAATTTCTTTAGACGGGGCAGTCAAGGATAACCTACGAAAGTGCAAGTACTTATTTCCAATAGGGTCCTTACCTGAGCAGACTCTAGAGACAGCTAGGAGATACAAGGGACTCTGGGAACCAGTCCCTAGCTCTTATTGAATAGAACGCTTGGTTCTTTTACATGCCCAGTGTATAGCACTGACACATGCGAAGATTACCTGGGTTTCTTACCAGTGTATCTCTAGGTAGGTAGGAAACACTGGAAGTGTCTCTGAAAAATCCCAAGGGTGTTAACCAGGATCAAACCCAGAACCTCAAGAGTGACAGTCAGTGGTCTAACCAACTGAGCTATCGGGTCACCTTACCATTGAACAGTCATGTCTTGACTCTCTAGCTAAACATAACCAGGGAAACCTCATTGTTTCGTGTATTTCTTTACATTTAATACATTTAATAATGTAGTCAATAGTTTTGTAGAATTATGCGCTGAAAATGCCTAAGTAAGTCTTTGAGAGCTTTGTCAGTTTTGAGAATAGACATTTTTAGATAAGTCAAATGTAGTTGTTTATATGTTAAGCCTCATATATTATTTATTGTGGTAAAATTCAAATGTGGCAATTGTGAATGGTTATTCATGGCAAGGTGAACATGCCATTATTCATAATTCACATGCTTATTGATGTAAAGGTTCACAACTGGTTATATTTTACATGGTTCACATGATGTTCTTTAATGTACAATCTACAATCCACATTTGATTATTTGTGGTAAACTTTGAGGAGTATTATTGAAAGATAGTAATACCTCTTCATCAGGCATGTTTGGGTTGGATCTCTTCTTCCTACCAGCATATCTCAACACAGACACGAGGGCACGGAGACCAAAATCATAATGATCTTGTTTAGACAGTTGTTGTGTGGCCAGTGTGTACAACGTAAACACTTTCTTTGCCAAAATCTGAAAAATATCATTATACAGAAAATATATCAATAAATAATGTGTAAAACATTAAGGGAAAAGGATTTCAAAAACAATTTTTGTGTAGAGTTTGAGTTATAGGAACAAATTTTACACAATCTGACAAATTTTTATTATCATAAAAAAAGTTCAATTGTTTGACATGTGCTAATCTATTGAAATGAATAAAAGGTGGAGTGCAAATAAGGTTAGATATTATTCTTGACCATATCCTAAAGTAGAAGACTCAAACATGCAACATCAGTATACACACACCAGTTGATGATTTTTACTATATACGTTTAATCTATTAAATGACGTTTTTATATTGCGGCCAACTTCCACTAAATGTCGGCCGAAATATATGAAATAGTGTGTTAAAAGTATCTATTAAATGGCCTTGACAAACACTCATCCCTACGAGCATTTCTTATCTGTGTAATCAGGGAGTAGTTTTGATGTGTACAAGCAAATAAACATATAACTTTAACGGTTTAAGAGACCACTTTTTGACAGTCCCTTGAGTGGTCTCTTAATACAATGTTGACTGTATTCAAAATACCAAACTTACCTTTGTATTACCAAAGCCTTCACCAAACAGGATGATCTCAGCAATCAGGTTAGAGTCAGGTACTACCATAGCAATAGGTCTGAACATAGACTTCAAGTTGTCTGGCAACTCAGTTCTTCCAGCATAACCTGATTATAAATTAACAAAACTGTTTAAACTTTATTCATGTATGCGCCAGCTCACTCATAATTAAAGTGACTTTTGAAAAACAAAAAATGTTAACAAAACTTTGTAAAGGAACTGGTTAAAACTGGTTAAGAGTCTGAACAACTCGTGTGTGTTTGCTGGTCTTGTTCCTTTCTAGAACCAAAAGGAAAGGCAAGTTATTTATGCTACCTTTACCAAGAAAATTAAATCAAAACCTTTTGAGGTTTTTATTGCTTAAGTGTTGTAAAATATTACTTATGTTAATGGGTTATTGTTAAGGTTAATATGGCAAGACAGGGCTCTAAATTTGTTGACTTTTTTTCATTATAATAAAACTTTAACAAGAATTCAGAATATCAAGATAACTAATACATTATTCTTTAACCATTGAAAACATGACTTGTTTCTGGTAATGTATTATTGTTGAATAAAAAAAAAATATTCAAACAAATTGTGAAAGCTAAATGTGTTTGAACAACATCTATGTAAAATACAGTATCAACAACTGACAAAGATGAAAAATTCAAAGTGAAAATGTCAAGGATATGTGTGTGTAAGTGTTCTTTCCATTTATATAAAACATCAAGATTGATTTCAAATTCACAGTTTTTTTCAAACTTTATTATTCTTTTGGTAAGAATCATGACAATATGACAACACAATAAAAGTACAATGTTGAGAACATACTATATATATGAGGGGGCCGCACTGTAGTTCAACATACAAAAATAATGTCAATATTTGTAACAATGTTCTATATATACCTAATAAGTTCTGTCAAGATTTATTTTAAAAAAAAAACATGCTAAATATTTTATAATATAAGCTAATTATTGATCGTTTTGTTTATACTTTCTTTAACTATTTTGCATTACTTATATGTAATTGCATGTACAGGTGTTAACATGCAGTTGAAATTGAAATATGAAATCATTTTGCAGGTAGTAATTGTTCATATAATTTCTTTTCAAATAGGAAGAAAAAGTCAGATATCAAAACTCATCACGTTGAGAGACACAGACAGTTTGACTTACCAGGATTCATGGTGATGAAAATACCACATGACCAGACAAGCATGATTTCTCTTCCTTCAAACACAAATCTCTCGGAACCAGCAGCCAGGGCGCTGAGGATTGACAGAATCTGCTGGGCTACCACAGACAATACTTCAATGTTGATTCTGTTGAATTCATCAAAACATCCCCATGCTCCTGTCTGAAATAAAAAAAAACATGTCTTCAAGTTAAAATTGTTCTGTTTCACTTTAAGATTTTTTTTCTTTAAAGAAGTTAAAAATATCTAATATGATATATCTTTGAGTGTAAACAAATGTCATTTGTATATTGACTTTAAATTTGGCTCCATTCATATCAGGTCTTAAAAACTGTAGAAAAGAAAATTGGTACAACTAGAAGGATATATCCTTTTGAGCATACCTTTGAAATATTGTTACATACTAACTTGACATAGAATCTCTCAGAAAGCATGTAACTTATATAAACAAATAATCACAAACAGAATTACAAACAACTTCCAAAATCGTACCTGAGCAAGACCAGAAAACATTCTGCCCATGGATTTATAATCCAGACCTTCAGAGCAGTTCACAACAATAACATACATTCCAAGACCTTTACCCAGATCCTTAACTGTCTCTGTCTTTCCAGTTCCTGAAACACAAAAAACCCGTCAATATCAACCATCAATATTTACTAATATCTGGAAAAAAAAACAACTTGTTTCACCCTTACCACATTAAGTATCTTAAATGTACTTGACCACCTTTCAATCTGGACAAAACCATTTATCAATTTAAAGGAAAATTTCAAAATATGTAGTGACTGAATCTCAAACAGTGCAGACAAGGTGGCACAGATGTCTCTGCTGGTCCTGGTTTTGACTGGTCACAGGGGTAGAATCACTTGCAGCAAGCAGGCCGAGGGTCAAGCCAGTTTAGATATAAAATTCTGCTCCCATCCTCTAAAAACAAACATTAAAAGCTCAGAAACAAAAATCTTAACAGTCTCGGGTTGCTGTTTTTCTGTGAATTAAGATATTATCAATGTTATGTTGTTTTTTTTTTTATTACCTGCGGGTCCTTTAGGACTTCCACCTCTATGAAGATGTAATGCTGTGGTGAGGGTCATGTAACATCTGTCTGTCAGTGGTGTAATGACCAGACGTCCAGAGTTACCCAGGTACTCGTACCCATACTGGAACTGTGTGTTTGTCTGCTTTACTACACAGTCATCTATGTCCTGTAATATATTGACACAAAGTTTGATACCTGGTTGGAAAATGAAAAATTTAGTTTTATTCTTAATTTGTAACAAGTAAATATAGTAACAAAGAGTATAAACAACTTAGACAAGCTTTACACATGAAAGTTCAGTTCAGAAACAAAGAAAAATTTACAAACATTAAGAACAATTCGTTTTCATTATTTTTATCATATATTAGGCTATAAATGAAATAAATGTACTCTAATATGACATCATAAGAATGATGTCATATTTTGAAGTACAAATGTGGATTAATTAAAGCTCAGGCACCTTAACTGAACCACTGACCATCAAAAGCTAGTTGAATAGCTTCCTCACATTAATAAATACAATTTTCAGAATTGAATTTAAATACCAATGAAACTGTATTAAGATAACTATACTAATTTGAAAGTAACAAGCAGTCAATGGCACAATACAGCCTGGGGTTGCAGGAATCAATTCATCTTTTGAGCTGGGCTATAAGAAATGTTTTGTAGCCAAAATGATTATGATGAAAAACATTAATAACACACCTTCTCCCAGTAAAACCTAAGTTGACTGAGCCATTCAAAAGCATACTGGTCTGAACACCCACTCTTGATCAACTTATCAATGATATCTCTGGCGTGAACCTCAATTGTTACCAGGGCAACAATCTTCAATCTCTGAATCTTGGTCAAGTTTCCTCGAATAGCTTCAGAGAACTTATTCAACATTGATATCTGAAAATGAAAATGTTTCAAATATTTAATATGTTTAGCATTTATTTAAACTTATGTACAGCAGAACACATCTTTGTAGTCAACATAAAGAATCAGCAAACATGGCAATTTAAACTTAATAATAAATAAAGAATCCTATTCACTCTACAGTGTTATATATTCACCAAATCTGACAAAAAATATCTAAAAAGACTGAAAACAAGAACTGACAGATGAACATCATGCTTGACTCACTGCCTGATAGCAAAGCAAGAGCTATGCAGGAATAATCTAAATTCAAAAAGGGGAATAATTCAGTAAAACTTCAGCTAAAGTTATGGTACTTGCTCAGTAACCTACAATAATGACATTTTTATATATGTCGACAGTGAACAGTCTTATTCTAATACTTTTTTTTAATTTTAAGTAACATCTTTTCTTAAATGTCTAAAATTTAATAACCTGTTTTTTCTTCATAGTTTTCAGTGCTCTCTTATCTCCCCTTTCCTTGGTGGTAGCAAGGGCTCTAGTTACATCCTGGGTCCACTGTATCTGACTAGCTGTGATACATAACTGTAATATAACATAAATATTCCTCACTATACTTTTTTCATTCTGTATTCCCATTGTATAAAATCTATGTGAAATGCATGATAGAATTTTCCTTAAAATAAGAAGTCATAAATTTATACATTTGTAAATATTGTTTAATTTTTTTCAACTCTTGACTGGTGTATTAACATCTAGGGAGCCAACCTGACACTATTTCTGGCATACAAAGGCATATACTAAGGTAGGGAATAGAGCATCAGATCTTACTCAAGCCTCAACATACACAATTGTTAACAACTCCTTTTAGGAATCAAACTTAAAGAAATAAAGGTGGGAATAGGCTCCTTGTCTCCATACAGACAATACAGTCACCTGTTTTACCATTCTTATAAATATTTGTTGTTGAAAGTAATGCTTAAAAGAAGTTAAAACTTGTCAAAAACTTCAGTTAAAACCCTTGTCTCACCTGTCCGGGCCATTCCTTCACCCATTTATCTCTCTTGGTCAAACTTTTCTTAAGAGCGTTCCTACACTCTGGCAGGCGTTTCTTTAGCGTGAATCTCATGTTCTTCTCCACATCACACAGCCAGGCTTCCACGGGTCCATCCAACAACACAACCTTGATAAACTCCACATATTCACCCTCTGTTGATGACATTCCAGCCGCCTCCCATTTCATATTCATACCTTGCTGTAAACATGATATAGAAACTTAAGTAATTTTTTTTTTCAAAAACTTCAATAACTTCATTTTCGTTTTAGTATATATTGTCTAGCTTCTATTTGTTGACATTTCACACATGGCACTTCATTAAACATTTTTTTTAAGAATCAGTTTTTACATGGCTTAGTCTAGACTTGACCAAGAGAATAACCAGTGAATCAACAATAAGGTCAAAATGCATAATTTGTGTTACATCACCAAGTTTTCATACTTGTAAAGCCTTTAGCTGTTTATCACAGGCGCATATTTGTTTATATATAATTAAATAATAATTTTATATAATTATATAATAGTCAAATAAAATTAGAAAATTACTGAGCAAGTAAACATATGATAAACAGTTCTTTTCAGTGCATTAAGCATGACTTAGATCTAGGTGTGCAGATTGTCGTCCTCTTTTTAAATATATACACATATGTATATTGATATCCACATATTCTGACCAACGTCTTTTTACATAAAATACTGTAACCCAACGAATATTCGCGACCAATTAATATTCGCTTTATTCGCGGATGGCCACAAAGCGCGAATATTTGTTTGCGCGAATAAGTTTGCACGATTTCGCGACTAAATTGGAGAGAAATTTTTATTTTAGACGTTCATGCAAAGCTACTTGACCTTATATATTCGAATTTTACGGGCACCTGTTAGGAAGTAATGAATTGTTAAGAATATTGCCATAAAGCAATAAAAACACAAACTAAGTAAACTACTACTATTTTATAAATATCAAAATAACTCCATGGCTATATAGTAATCAAAATAAACATCCACATTTAAATACAGTTTAAAATATAAAATGTTTGAATAAATCGTTTGACAAAAGTGGGAAAACTATCGAGCATCACAAAAGGCTATTTTGTTTTTCGATCCTATAGAATAATTGTTTGAGTGAATAATTAAGACAAAGGTGGTATAAACCTATCGAGCATCACAAAAGGGTATTTGGTGTACATAAATACAAACAGTGAAATACAAGATGGTTTCATGCTAGTATCGCTTTTTACCCGTCAAACTTAACAGCCTGTTTAGCTCAGTTGGTTAGATTGCGGACTCATATAACAAATTTTCTCGGCGTGGGTTCGATCCCCGATTAGAGAAGGTTTTTTTTTTTATGAAACGCTTGAATTTCCAATCCGCGAATATTTTTTTTTCGGAAATCAAGAAAACGCGGAAATTAATATTCGCGAATATGTCCGACCTCGACAAAACGCGAAAATTTGTGTTCGCGAATATAAATTGGGTTACAGTAACAAAGAATCTTTCATGATTCATTCATGCTTCAAAAACTGTCAAATAAATTAAAATATAAGAATATAAAAAAACAAAACAAACTTGAACAGAAACAGGTTTTTAAAAGTTAAAAATATATTACCAAAGTAGTTTCAAGTCTACTCTGCAAAGTTAAACTGAAATTTCTAAGTGCTGTGCATACATCAATGAAAAACCATTAAAAGAACAAGCATAATATATTCTGATGATTCCAATGACATTTAAGGAAAAGTTAGTTTAGAAAACTGGCTTGAAGTTATCCAAATAGTTAAGATTTTTAAACTGGAAATTAAATACAGATTAGAGACACAATCCTGTAACTATATTACTATTGGAGACAAAATTAATCAGGAGCAGCATAACTAATATTGCATAGCAACATAGCAACGCGATAATAAACCGTAGATGCCAGAATGTAACCCCAATGCAGTGACCCGCCCACTGCCCGACATTTACCATACTATAACCTGGGTTTGCAACTATGCAACCCAGCCAAAAATACATTAGTACTTTTTCGGCCTTACTGCTCTGTTTTAAAAGAAACTCTTTTTCAATAATAAATCCTCTAAGCTTGTAAAGGAAGACATTTCATTAAAAATTCCCTTCTCTATGCCACATGAACACCAACCTTTGCCATCTTCAATGATTTGATATTGTCAAAGCATTTCTTCAAATGAGGCTGTACTGCCTCTGGGTTCTTTGACTGGCCAAGGATCTCGAGCAAGTCATCGTTGGACAGGAAGTAGAATCGTGGGAAAATCTGTCTCTTAGTTTCCAGATACATGTCCAGTGATTTCTGAATCTCCTCTAGCTTCAAGTTCATGTTGTTAAGTTGTTCCAACATTCCTAAAATTAAAGAGAATAACATATAAAATAATTATAATCCCCATAAAAAATTCCGAGCATACAACTAGTGTCTATCAAAAGTTCATTTGTACTGTACTTAAAAAAGAACAGCCTGTTCAGTTCACACAATTATCAATATACTGCATATCACCTTTCCTATGAAAATTTCAAATAAAACTTATCAGAACTAATATCAAAATTGTACAACATGTGTCAGAAAAAAAAAATCATCAACAAATCACTGACACTTAGAGCAAGAAAGACAAATACTTGTAATTTCCCTTTAAATAAATTATCGTTGGTCAGTGACTTGAAATTTCGAATTTATTCCTTTTGTGGAAGATTATTTTCAGACTATTTTTTTTAATACTGGCAAAATCAGGCATCTTAGGAGAACAACTAGTCTTCCACTATCACAGGAAAGGAAGACCCCATAGCCAACAAAGAAGTAAATATTTACACCCTATGTTCATCATTAAAACAATAAGATATTTGAGCCATGTCATGACAAAACCAACATAGTGCATTTGCGACCAGCGTGGATCCAGACCAGCCTGCGCATCCGCGCAGTCTGATCAGGATCCATGCTGTTCGCAATCAGTTTCTCTACTTGTAATAGGGTTGGTAAGCGAACAGCATGGACCCTGATCACACTGCGCGGATGCGCAGGCTGGTCTGGATCCATGCTGGTCGCAAACTATGTTGGTTTTGTTGTGACGCAGCTCAAATTTTATACCTTCATGATGTGTTCCTCGTAAAGCATTTCTGTCCTTGTTTAAACGTGTCATGATCACCTTCCATTTAGCATTGACATCATCAAATTCAGCAGATTCACGAGGCAACTGTTTACGAATATCCTCACCAAGGAAAATATTCTGAAATGTTTACAAATGGGAATATATTCATTTGTTTTGAAAAGCATTGGAAAGATCTCTTGAATTGTAAAAAACATTGTATATGTGAAACATAAAGCTAAAAATTAACTGTTACTTTATCATATATCAAGAGCACAATCTGGTTCTTTACTGATATGCATAAAACAACTTTTCACTGACTATATTGAAAATCTGGCCTATTATTTTACATACATAGTAAAGTTTTTTTTTTTAAATAGTTTACCAAGTCATTTAAATTCACTACATCTGAACTTGTTTTCTATCAACAACAAGCATATATTATAACTGAATTTATTGGGTTTTGTTCTGTGGTCTGAATGTTCTTTCATAGAGCTGCTTTAACAAGTTGAAACATTCAGATTTCTATTTTAAACTTTGAAAAAGAAGCTTTAATGTTTTATACAGAAATATCTTCATCAAGCTTTGTTCTACATTTTTTAGTAACAAAACAGGATCCAGGAATCATTTTGCAATAAAACTTCTACAATATAAACCATTCCCTGTAGGAACAAGCCCTGTGACCTTTTTGATATATTAATGGCCTATTATTTTCCAAACATAACCAGTACCACATGTTATTTACAGTACTAACCTCGAGGTACATCCACTGTCTCTGTACAGTGAGCAACATCTCCACCACCTCTAGGATATGTGACAATGTACGCTCCCACTTGTCAACCTCCTGCTCAAACGCCTTCACAAATCTTGATGCTTTCATTGTAGACAACTGTACCTGGTTGTCCTCCAGTGCCAGGAACACTTCATCTGTACTCCTGATAATATAATACAGATACATGTAGATATGTTCTCCAGGGTTTTTTTTTTTAATCATGCTAACACTTTTCATTTTTTCTATCAAACTTTTAAATCATGACAAGACCGTTAAAGGCATGTTGCAACTTTACAATTGGAAGAAAATCCTACATCCCCCATCATTATTTCAGGCACAAATATAACACCTTAGTAGGACAGTCAACCTTCTGTAAACAAGCTAAACAGCATTCAAACAAGACAGAATTCCGCATCAAGAGCAATAATTAAATTCAAAATTAGAGTAATTTAAATGCCTGTAAATTACTATTATACTATCTATACTATTTCTATCAGAGCCAAGATTTCTGTTTTTGCAACAATCGTTATCTTTTTATAACACAACAAATAACATTACCTTACAGATAGCAACATTAAGATATAATGATAATAATTATGTGATATATACCTGACTTTAAAGCAACCCTTGTAAGGACCAATATCCATCTCTGTAACATTCCATGTCTGACTGATAGCATCCAAAGCCTGAAAGATGACATTACCTCAAGAATTTATAATCAATATACAAAACTGTGCTAAAATTTTATCAGAATATTCTTATTTTTATCTTTTTACATCTTTTCGCAGTTTCCCATTAAATTTAACTATGACTCAAACTTGTCTTCTCTATAGTTTAATAATTATGTTCACTTGTTTTGCTGGCAGCTTTGATTTTCGGGCTGACGTGATGCCACCAAAATGTTTTGGACACAGGAAAAGTATACCTTGTTGTCTCAGAGTTATGTCCAGGACAAGAAAAGCAGACTGACAGACAGACAGCAGGACAAAGCGGTGATAATATGCTCACCCTTCCAGGAGCATAATAAACTATTGCTGTTTCTTAGACTGTTTTTCAAGAAGGAAACAATATCTTGTATTCTTATATCATACACTATTCTGTTAATTATGGATAGCAAAGGAAAATAAAACATCTAAATATAAACTGGTTAAGACATATCTAATGAAGAAAGAAGGAATCAATATTTGTTCAAGAATTTAAAAATATAAACCTGTTCAATGGCCAACTCTTTGGTAGCAGCACCCGAGACTTCATTAATGGATTCAGCATACTGATCAAAGCCATACTCTATAATCTTCTCCAGGGTGAAATCATCAGCTTCATGATTAAACTGTCTCTGCATCTTTGTCTGGTACAGAGAAAACAACAGTGAGTCAAGTGGTATCAATTTTGGAATAATAAGAGTTCAATAAAGTAATACTTTGTCTAGAATTATCTATCTTAAAGAATAAAAAAAGAAAAAGGAAAAAAATGCCTGAAACATGACTTTAGTATTCTTTAAGAGACCATACAAAATAAAAACATAAAGGATAAAGAAAGATTTAACTATTAATTCCATCAAATGGAAAAAATTCCCTCATATTTATAATCGTGCACAGCGTTGCAATATCTTATTTTTTACAGAGAAGTAAACCAGTGCAATGATGAAATATTATGTAAGCTTCACATAATTCATGCACATATTCTATCAATTCAAATCAAAATCAAAATGCAATCAATATGTGTTAACCTAATAATTCATATTAAATTAATTGTTTTAATTTGCAAGTTTAAAATATTTATACCTGGATTTTATCCCAATGTCTAGGTCTCATGGCTTTGTTTTTCATGTCTTGAATCAATGGCATGGTTCTCTTGAACTGGTCAACACGATTCTTACTGGTGTCAACTACCTCCCAATTCTTATCCTATATAAATAAATATATATTCATAAAGTATACTGTATATTTTCATAATCATTAAGCAGTATCATAGAACAAAATGTAAATTACCCTTTTTAAAAAATGTCAGAATTATCAGCAATGAAGAAAAAAATAATAAATGCCATTTTAACTTTAAACTAACAGATGTAGTGCCCAAGTTTTGAACAAAAAGTCTAGTTAGTAATTTGTTACATTAGTTAACTGTTACAGATGAATTGTGTTCAACATAATCAATGTAACAGATTTGCAAGTGTGTCTATAAGCTTATAGCTTCTACAAAATAGAACTTAAATTAATTATGTATAAACAAATATAATGTTTTCAATAGGTACAATAAACACCATAAAAATAAACGAATAAAAAAAGAGTAAACATTCTTATTTTCTTACATTCTAAACATCACAATTTGATATCCATAGATCAAACACTTTTCAAACTTAACCAAACACACCAGTATATATCAGCAACATAGCTGATGAGAGATATGAGATTATGATACCTACCTTAAGTTCCCTGCTGTATTTAACAAGTTTCTTAAATATTGTCATACACTGCGTCTCCATGGTGTCTGTAGCCAGCTCAACAAACTTCCCATCTTTCCAGCTACCCCACAAACCTTCCCATTCTTTGTTCAAGTTCCAGATTGTCTCAATCAACTCCAGATCCTGATTTTAACAGAAATATGAAGCATTTTTTTATAATAATTTCTCTTATGGGAGAGGCCACATGTTCTTATAATGAAGGTAATACATACATGTATATCAAAATTTGGCATATTTAATAATTTCTTATGACAAGAAGAGATACAATACAAGAAAATAAAATTAGCTGCACCAAAACATCATGTAAACTGACACCTCTTAAAATCAGTACTAGAAATCGAAATTGGTAAAAAGTTTGTTCAATGCATACAAGCTGTTGCTTACAAGTTGCTCATACCAATAGATTTATAACTGTTCATTAGATATAAGGTTGTGCTATAAATTAGGTTTTGATAAAACTAGTCATGGATTTGAATAGAACAAAATATTGGTTTGTTTCAAGATTTTCACCTTATCAAGTGCAGCAATTTCTTTAGATGGGGGTTGGTCGATCTTGAAGATGTTCAGACCGCGTCTAATGTCTGCCTCCTGTTTCTTTAATGCCTCCATCTGTGCACGAATGGCAGAGATATTCTCAAGGGCCTCGCCAGTCTGTATGGAACTGACAAACGGACCTTTGGTTGTAAATTCGTCCAACAGATTGTGAACCTGTTTCTTGAACTCTTCCGACTGGCCTAGTAAATTGCTCTTGAACTTTTCCTGTTAAAAGATATACCAAAGATTTATATGAATGAAACTAAAAGTAAAGAAATGAAAACAAGAGAAAATCTGATGTAATTGAGATCATTCAATTCTTACTACTATGTGAGGAATTTTTAAACTAGAAATGTGTCCAAAGGACATGGCTGCCTTAACATTTCACTGTTTTGTAATTCTACAGTGTGACAGCAGACAGTGTGGCAGAAAAGGGTGAATCTATTTGCTTCCCCTGCACAAGTAGCGGATGCAGGGGGCATAAAAATTGTAAAAGGATTTCCTAGCAGATGCAGGGGGCATAAAAATTGTAAAAGGATTTCCTACTATCCGTTGAAACAATAAATGTCCTTTCTTTTTGTAATTTTACTGCTCACTGTCCTAGTCAAAAATTTCAAGAAGAAAATTTGCTTAGAATTCCTGTCCAATTTCACAGACGCAGGTATGAGAAACTAGAAAAGTCCAATAAACTTCTGTAACCTTAGGTTTTATAGTCTACACAGTTTTCTTACACTTCTTTATAGTATGAAGACTCAAAAACCTTATTTATGCAGCAACTTTCCTGCCTCTATTCAAATATGCTGTGAACAAATTTTCCATTAGATATTAACATACATCAGTTAGGCAAGTGAAATACTACAAACCTTGTGCTTTTTCAACATTCCCTCTGCTTCAATGAGTTTCTCTTGGAAGGTGACCCATTCTGTGCTTAGATCATTCAACATCTGTTTAACATCTTCAGGTATTGTAACCTCGTATTTCTCCAGGATGGCAAATTGATCATGTAGAGGTGGGAATTTGGCTTCAGTTGCTGGTAGACCACTATTGAGTGAGTCCCATAGTTCAAGACTGGTTCCTAGCTCATCAAGGGTTTGTGGTGGCTTGCTTACACTGAAATTTAAACAATATTATTTCACTCAACTATTGTTCCAATATTGTATATCAATTTACTTGTCAAGCTTTAAATTTAGGACAGGTTGTTGGTAACCAAATATATTTGAACATTACTTTTTTCTAGCATCAAATCAATATGGGTTCAAATCCTGTCAGGAACTTTTGGATATTTTCATGTAAGTAAGTTATCCAAATAGATTATGAAAGGTAAGCTATCCAACGAGCTTATGGAAGGTCAGTTGTTCTTGAAAGGCACCTATTTGTGCCTGAAAAAAATCCACAAAAATGGTCTTTCTCTTCCAATACAGCTGGAAAGTCACCATATGACCTTTACAGTGTTGGTGGGACTTAAAATCCAACAAAAATCCAAACTATTCAGATATAAATATGAACACTTTTAGGCACACAAGTATGACATCAGTTTTACTCAGTACTCAATATGGCACTTGTAAAAAATCTCAATAATCTGAACTTACTTTTCAGCATTAACCTTCAAGAATTCATTCAGCTCCTTCAACCTGCCAGTGGCAATCTCACTTAGAAGTGTGGTAAACTTGTTCTGCCATTCTGTACAATGGGAGAGAATTGAGTATTTCAGGGGAGAGCAATCTAGCAAGACAAACTGGATGTTCAAGATAGTCTCCTGTGTCTGTACATTGTTGGCCACCTCAGTGTATCTGAAATGATGAGATACGAGTTCAACAATAATGAAAGATTTCTATCAAGAAGTAAAAAGTGCTTTAAAATTGCTTAATACTCTTAACCTTTGGACATGAAGAATTTGAGACTATAAAAAAACAATAGAACTCTGATGCATGTAATGTCAAAATCTATGGTAAGAACATACAAAAAAAAAATCTCAACAGTTGGTGAGAACTGGTTCACACACAGACAGTTACGTGGAAGCCAACTGATGGCTCTGTCATAAAAAAAGTTGTTGGTTCTAGTCAATGTCTTTACTTCTGAATTGTTTTCTTATTACTCATTCAACTCATTAAAAAAGAAGAACAGTCCCATCCTTTCATAATTCATTCAGCAAATTTATTTTTTACATGCAATAAATAAAAAATTCAATAAATTGAAAGTTATGTCTTATTGTAAATCAAACTGCCATTTCTGTGTTTCTGACATATTCATTTGAATTGATTTTTTTGCTTTACCTTGCAATGTCAGCATCAAAAGATGAGACCTGGGGATTCAACCTCTGGTATCTACGGATGAAGGCATCTTTGTGGATCTCCCAGATTTCTCTGTAGTTGTCCCAGGTACTGAGGTAATTTTGTAAGTTCTGGGCATTACTCTGCATACCAGCACTAATTACTGTCTGTATCTTCTTTGTCTCCTCATCTCTAGCTATCACTTGATGTACAGGCTGGTGGAAATAATAAAATAAACACAAATGAAATCTAATGTGTGTAAATCTGAGCCAGTATGGGAATACTGTATCACCAATGTTCAGTAAGAAAGAATTAAAAATATCTCCTTGTTTTGCTCTTGATATGAAATCGAATCTTACTTTGTATATTATTACCTTATCTGGCATACTTTATGGCCAGTGCTTTGTAAAGCACACCTCCATAAAATGTTTGATATCAGGAAATGATCGATGAATACGTTAAAAAAATGGACATATTCAACACAGTAAAGTCAAACTTATTGACTAAGTTTTCAATCATACACACTTAACAACTAATTGTGATAATAGAATTTGTAATAGATTTTTATTTTAGTACTCTCTGTAATTTTTTTGTAGATTGTGGAGTCGGTATATCAGAGTTATGAGTCTACTTCTCTATGTACAACTGTTCATTTGGAGCAAATTCAACTGTAATACACATAACATTTAATATCTGTAATGATTTTCTCTTAAATTAACAAAGCCTTACTTCTTTGAAAACATATCATCCAACAAGGCTTAAGATCTAAAAAACACTGCAGAAGGAAGAATTAAGAAATATATCCAATCCCACTTGCTGTCTACTGGCTGGAACCGGAATCACAACTTCAAGCAGTACTGTGACTAAGCAAATTGTATACAGATTTTTAGTTAAACTTACAATCTCTGTAGATTTCTTTTTTGTTAGAATTGTAGGAAGTCGGGGTATATCAGAGATGGAATTTGTCAAATGAGATCCTATACTTCCTACTATTGTAGCCAACTGTTTCAATGTTGGAGCAAATTCAACCTGTAATACACATAAACATTTAATATCTGTAATGATTTTTTTCTTAAATTAACAAAGGCCTTACTTTTCTTTTTGAAATACATGTATATCCAACAAAGGCTTTAAGAACTTGCTAAAAAAAATCTGTATGACAAGAAAGATATTTTAAGAAAGAATATTTACCCATAACCTGACTTTGCTGTCAGTACTGAGCCAGGGTAACCTGCACATCAGTGTAGACTGACCAGGCTCTATTTACTGTTGACTGAACAATTTGATAATCCCAAAGTAGATAATAGATAGTTCTAAATATGGAAGCTTGAAAAGTCCATTTAAGAAATTCAAGAAACCATCAACAACAAAAACAACCAAACAAAATGTTGTGACAAAACATTAATCTATTAAAGTAAGTTACCACTAGTATATCATATTTTTTAATTTGAAAGAGAGAGGCAAACTGTTTATCTGAAAAATTACAGACAAGTACTGTTTATAATTACAAAATAATTTAAACTGATTATTAGCTTCAAGCATAAATATTTTTTGGACGGCCTCTGTTTTTTAACCATACCTTATCTCCTTCAAGGCACACTTTAACCCTGAAGAGTGGGTTAGGAGCAGACTTTCCATCACCATTGATAGCTTTAGACAGTTCTTGTAGTGACCATTTCACGTTCAGTCTAAAAGCTTCCTCCACCATTTTGTCCATCTTCTCAGTATAACGATGCCAGTGGGACTGTACCTAATATTGTTACACGAAATTGTTATCATAAGTATATATCAGTGTTAAAATTAATAAAATATTGCAACCAGGCAAAATGAATTGTCAATATAAATGTTTTAATAACAACAATGCTAAAATTAAGCTATATATATTTTTGAATATGAACATTTATATATAAGATGGTTCCTAATTTTTACAATATTTTCCACCTTTGACAAAAACGGCTGCCATTTTTGGGGTCAATATATTTTACAATAAAACTGACATGATTCACAAACTGGGAAACCTATAGATAAACACGGTTTTCTGGTACCTTCTGTACAATTCCAGATGATAGTTCTGGGGAATTTGCCTAAATGGTGTGTAAAAGGAAAAAATAAGTATGCTTTTGGTCTTTTTTGGATTGAAATTAAACAATTATTTTTAGAATATATAGCTGTACTCTGGAATATTCTGGAAAAATGGAGGGTCAGCAAATGATCTCAAATTTTGGACACAAGTTATTGGTTTAGACCTTTATCAAATGGAACAAAAATCTCAAAAAAAATTATGTCCAGGCCTTTCATGTAAAAAAAAACAAACCTCAGTGGAGTCCCTTTAATTGTACAAAAATCTTTACCCTAGATACTATAAAGCTATACACATTGTAAAAGATCATACCTCAGCACCATCGCTTTTAAACACTTCATACGTTCTCCTCATAGTAGATATAATCTCATCATGATATTGTTTTAACCTCTTCTGTACAATAGATCTATGACTGGCCTGAGATTCATCAAACTCCATATTCTCATATACTTTACGACTGTCTATCTTCACTAGCAACATTTCACTTATATTAACACACTTTGTAGAGATCTCCATGTTAGCACCCTATAAACAGTATAATATCCTCTATTTAAGCCCCATTTAAAGCCATAAAATGACTTTTTTTTCCATTTCTCGAAATCTTTTAATTTTTACATTTTTAATATTTTTTATCATTTTGTATCATATTTTGATGATTTTTTTTCTTTCTTTTTTTTGGCAATTAGTACAGTTATAGTGATTAAGTATTATGAATGGCAGTCAAAACAACACTTTGGTAATATTTGCTACCTTCTTTATAAATTATTTCACATCAGTACTACTAAATTCTGGTGATAAATATCTAATACACTTTGAATCCATTATTGAAACATTTGTCCCTTCTAAAGAAATAAAATCTCATTTCTGAGCCTTTAATTTCCTTATTTCTTTAAAGAAGTCATGAAATATTTATATACAATCAAATCAAAACTTACATCTCTTTAGTCAAATCAACTTATTTTTATACTAACAGTTAACTGATACAAGTAATTTTCCGTCAAAAAATTAAAATAACACTTGCCTTATAATCATCGACAATGCCCTGTATCTTACTAGAATGCAGGCGACAATCAGAGACGAAGAAGTCTGAGATACCCTTAGACGCCCATGTCAACTTGGTGAGACCTGGATGTATCTTCTTGTCTAAGAATCTGATTCTCTCTCTAAACAAACCTCTCTCTTCAGGAGATAGAGCTGCTATGATTCTGAATATAAATAAAGCGTATATCATTGATAGTTATTATTATATTATTTGTTTTGCGTCCGAGGGTTTCAATTTGCAAAATATATTGAATTTACTTATACCAACATGTTACTAATTTTAAAGCAGCCTTAAGCTTTTCTAAAGGTTAAATATGTTATTATAATATTAAATTATTCCATATAATTGTCAAATCAACAGAATTAAAGTGGAAAAATGAAATATGCCATTGATAAAATATATGAACAATGAGGAGACCCCTCGATACCTCTAATCTACCATTCCATTCTCTATACTTAAATTAGTAAAGCAGATGATTTGTTTCCCAATCTTTTATTTTCAGAAACAATACATCACTGACATGTTATAAATAGCTCTCGGGACAGTTTTACTACATTCAAATATAAGAGGATGTTTGTTGCATATGAAAGCATGACATATTACCTATTATAATCTCTGACAACCAACATAACATGTTCTCTGAGCCCTCTCAGATCTTCTCTCTTGTTATAGACATCTACAGCATAGTGGGGCGTCTCAAACATCAACCTCTCCCAGTAGTGTATCTCCTGAAACATCTTCAACAAGTCCCTGTTGAAACAAATGTTTATATCTTAACATATAAGTTGATATAACCAACACATTTTCATATTTTTTTGTTCAGGTATATGCATCACAAATTGTCAAAAGCCTAATCTCTTTAACATCTGAATAACTAAACCAAATATATGTGATGACAGACACATAGAAGATGCAAAGATAATTTCTGTCCTGATTAGCATATATTAATGAAAATAATGGAAACAGATACTACATCAAGTCACATTCAATATAACTATTTAACCTTATTATTCTACAGATTATGATTACACACCCTTGTTATCAAAAATAAAACCATGCTCTTAGTGGTAAACATGCATTTTCACCAGACATTAGCACGAAAAACATGTGCTGCTGCACAAAACTTGAACATGTTATGCTCAAAGTTTTGGACATGTTATAAAATTTTTAATTCAACATAAATGCGATACTATGATTATAAAAAAGTAAATGGTATTGAATTTAAAATTAAAAAAAGACTGGAATATAGAGTATTTATTATTAACCTGTTGAAGTTGATGTCCAGCATAGGTGGTCTCTCTGTACTTCTACACATCAATGGTACCTCTAGTTGCTTCATAGGTTCCTATTGTAACACACAAAATCAATATAAGACACTGCTCGTGTTTGTTTATGACTCATTAGTTTGATTATATAAAAACAGTGTTACCCAAATGACAATTTTAAATTTGCTTCATTTCATGTATGACAAAAATATTCGCAGCATCCTGTTTTAACTGGTTTAAAAAATGTAACAAGACTCCTGGCAGTGGTAATTTTTGAAACTCTTCTTTCTTGCTTGATAAATATAAGAAAATGTTAAATAAAAAACAAAAAAACAACAGGTTTTAATGGATCTTAATACATTATGTATACTATGAAATGTAGAAACTAAAGGGGGAAAGGTAACCTAAGATTTTAAAATGACAACCATTAACAATTGTAAAATAGTCCAATGTTACTGTAAATAATAATTTCAAAAATCATTTTCAATATAAAATTAATTATGATATGTAGGATATGGTAACACAATACCTTTTGAAAAACAAAATTATAGAATTATAGAATTATAGAATTATAGAATTTCTTACACAGAAATTGTTAAATTGCAAGTTTCTTTAAGTACTAACACAAGATAGAAAGAAATTCTAACAATAATGAAAGAAAAAACCCTTTCCCAATGGGCTTAAAACAACAAACAGCTGGAAAAAGAAGGGGGAAATGGGCCCAAAATTCCAACTAAAATATACAAGTCATTAGAAATCCCCATCTTATTACTAGGAAAATTAGACGTTCTTAAGAAGTAAAAAAAGTCTCCTAAAATATTTAAAAATAGTTGGTTTTTAAAAGTGGAGATTTGGAAAGAAATAAAGAAACTCGGGAAAATAAAACAAACTTAATCACTGTAATTTGCAACAAGGTTTTTTTTATAATATGTGATTTTGATAATGAAAGAAATAACTTTCATGATTTTTAAATTTTTCTTTTTTGTTTGTTTTTGTTTTGCTGAAGTTTTTAAGATTACAGTTTTATCATTTTCAATTGCTGATAAATAAATGTCACCTAGAAACAAATAGTTTTTTTTATGAGAAATAAGAGAATAGTTAGGCCCAAATTCTTACAACATTAGTGATTGGCCCTGCAAACCCCACAACAACATTATCACATTTCTTATTCATCCTGTATGTATTTTTTGAAAAATACTTATATCAAATTATGACATAAAGGAACTAAAATGTGCATAAAGTAAAAACGTTGAGCAGGGTTTTTAACCAATAGGGTAGGTAAAAGGAATGGGACGAAAAACAAAATATTTACAGAAATGCTAAACTGTTGAAAAATTAAAAACAAAATAGAAACTAAAAACAGTTGCATTTCAAAGCTAGAGTGTACACCACACTTTTAAAATCAGAAATGATAATCTACACTGTGGTATAACAGACTATATTGCACACTTGTTTATTACATTCATGTAATTTTCATCATCAATATCTAATATTTCACTGCATCTATATTTCTGCAAATCAATCATAAAAAAATATTAATTAATCAGAATTTATTATGTGGTATTTCAAAACACCAGTTATATATTCTTTTATTCTAACAACTTTCTGTCTATATCTTTTAACATCTTTTGATAAAAGACCTTGAATTTTTTATTTTTTTTTTGGACAATTAGATATGATTATACATAGGTTACTGTATAATACTTCATATTTACAATGGTAAGTGATTTTTATATTATCTATAAACACAGTTCATGCGAATAAAATAATTTTTTTCATTATCATTATCTAAGGAAGAAAATCACAGTATTATAAATTTGCTGTTATATATTTCAAAGGTTATATGGCCATGTTTAGATGGGATATATAACCTTCACTTATGTAAACTTACAAATGCTAATACTGGGCCATAAAACCTGTTAAAAAATCTTAATAACTAAATAAGTAATAAGATCCAATATATATTAAGAAAAATATATATATATATGATGATTACATGGTCAAGAAACATCTAGTTAAAGAACAAGATGAAATGAAAAATCATCTTTACCTTGTCGATGGTGAGTGTCCATTCATGGAAGGTCTTCCTAATGTACTCGTCCAGGGCCATGCACAACTGTTGGTACTGAGTCATCACTTCCTTCCCTGATCCAATTACAGGCAAGAAAAATGCTCGATCTAGAGCCTTGAAATTAGAACACAATTATGACACTTTAAATCTTTACAAAATTACAGAAATCCTTTATTCAGGACATTTCCTTTTAAATAATATAAAGTTACATAACATCATTATTCAAATACATGATCCAAATAAAGTATCAGAAATTATTGAGTGACAATGAAATTGTCACAAATCAGGTTTTTTTGATAATTATACATATATGAAAAGAAAACCTACAAGGGACTATAATTCTTTTAAATTGCTTCAGGGAACTTTAT